ACTCAATTCCTGATTGTTCCGACAAATTTTCGCGATTGGTTTTTGTTTACAAGAGCGATTCAAAACTGTGTTCAATTTTCTCCACGTTGCATCTGGCTAGTTTGCGCACGTAGAGAAAATGTCGCAAAACTAGTTGGCTTTTGCATTTCTAATCTCTTTCGTTAGTTTGTTGCGATATTGTTTGAACGTTTTAAGCAAGTCACAATCACGCGTTTTCAAGAACTTTCCATCTAATCTGTATTTTACTTGAATTTTGTCCAGCAATCCAAGGTTTCCGGATTTTTCGTTTGTTTTGTTTTGACAGCCGGAGTACTTTATAAAAGAAACAGTCGCCATACATTTTTTTAAACTTAGCTAAAAGTATACTATAGGCACGGTCTACGTCTGTTTCTTGGAATATTTCACTTGAATCAAGTAAGACCACGTTTTGCCTGAAAGTGTTCAAGTTGTTCCATGAAATATTTTAAAAACATAGTGATTCAGTTTCTTTCGCGTTCAACGTGTTTTTCCTTAAACAAAAATAGCTACCATGGTGATCGCTTTTGTCTGTACTTATTACTCCTGCCAAAAAATGAGGCGTATGTAGGTTAATTATAAACAAATCAAGCAAAGTAGAACATGTAGGAGTAATTCGGGTAGGTAAGGGGATCACGTTCATACATCCAAATTGTTGTACAAACTGTTCCAGGTTTCGTTTTTCAGGTGTGTCTGCAGGCATGGTAATATTAAAATCACCGCCCATAACCAAGTTGTATTTATTTTCATTTGCAAAACTTAAAATTGACTCCAGAAAATTAAAAATAAGGTTTGAAATTTCCCTTGTGGAGACCGATACACAATGGCTACCACATTTCGATTTATGCACAAAGACAAAACTTCATTCTCTTGGTTTACACACGAGTAATTAGACAACAATTCGCATGAAAAACTCTGTTTTACCACCAAAGACACATTCTCACCTCGGCCGGCAGTTCGATTTGGAACAGAATAATGGCATAACAGTAGATTAAACGTATGACTGTCTTCCACATACCAAGTCTCGGCTTAACATAATCACGTCGAACGACAACTGGAATTGAGTAAAAAGCACTTCAAGCTCGGTTATCTTGTTTCTCGCTGATTGTGTATTTATATAAAAAAAAATTAATGATTGAGCATATTCTCTTCCACATACGCTTTCAAAATCAGATGGCACAATGTAAACCGGAGTTGCCATTATCGGGATGGCCATCTTTCGGGGACAGCTCCTACGCCTCTTCGCGTAAAAGAACATATGAAGCTTTCGCCTTAAAACGCCGCATGGCGCGAGATCTGGATAGCAGGGACGATGGCTGTTCAATTTCACAAGGAGAGTCTGCAGAAAGTTGAGCGTCATAAAGAGTTCCACCATTTTCTTTTTGCAAAATCGTTGTCTTCTCGACCTTGTGCGATGTGGTCTCCATGATGAAGACCCAAAACGAATGACTGGCTTTGTTAAGGAATAGGGGCCCTTCGATAGCGCCGTGGCCCAACCGAGGGCGTCCTCTTATTAGTTTTTCTAAGGCAGCGACGTTTCCTTCAGCCACTGCCGTCGGCAGCTTGCCAGTGCGCATGTCGTTTTTTCAGAAATCTGTGGCCACGCTGAGAGCCCGAAACCATGAACGATTTGTTACTTGTAACAACGCAATGTCTCCAAAGGCATCTTACGAACGTTCCAGTGACTCTGGCTAATTTACACCCCTTTTAAAAATCGCAAAAACCTCTCCGCCTAAAACTGTGAACTTCCTCGGCGAAAGCCAGACTGAAGAGACGTACTGGAACTTTCTCAAGTGTGCGGCGGACACTAGGTTGCGTGGTGGTAGCTTGTCATGCTAAGAAATGATAAAGTTTCGTGTGCCACAGTTAATTGGTGCATGAATTCTTTTTTGTTTGCTACACCTAAAAACTTTTCTAGCGAATCTCGTAAAGCATCACCAATTGGACTGAGTAAAAATAGCTTTCATCTCGGAAAATGTGCATACATAAAATGTAACACAAAATGGGAACATAAACCAGTATGTGAAATCACGACCGATTTTCAGCTTTTGTATTCTTCTTAAACGTGCAAGAAAAGAATATATTGCCGGAATTACGGTTTCGCATGCTGCTTTGATGCAGTCCAGTGGCAAGCGCCTTGTCAATATCTCATTGCCTCTCATTTCAATCATCGTGTATGGATGTTTTCTCTGGTATCGAACCGTGGAGGAGAGATCAATTACTTGACCGAGGTTCGAAACCAAATGCGCCCCTATACCCTGGACCCTTTCCAAGTTTTAAGCCCCATCTCCTCGGAGAGTTTGGAAGACTGACGCTATTTTCGTGGCACGCACTTTTCTTTTTTTTACCATTCCAAGTTTCCCGACTTCGAGCGCACTTGAAAACAAAAGAAGGGACCGCAAAGACTCGTTCGCTGAAGCTACTGTTATAGGAGTGACCAAAGAAATCAACAACATAACAATTATTGCCTGCTGCTTTTCTATTTCCTGCCGAAAGGGTGCACGTTGCTTGTTCATCATGTCGCGTGGTATCTGAAAAGGAAATAATCTGAATATGCGGGCGAATGGCGTACTGATCGAATGCAGTCATCGACTCTTTTCAAAACTGCGCGACCATCTAGTAACTGCTGCTCCTATTATTAGAATCCACCGTTGTTTGGTGAGGTGCTTTAAGCATGCGTGTGAGACGAGGGCTGTGTCAGTGCGAGCTCAACTCAGCTCGTATTGTACCCGAGGGGTGACATCAGCGTTCGGCGAAGACTCCGGTCCAATCCCACGCTTCGTGTTCATGAATGGATGGATGGATGGATGCTAACGGCTGTACCCTTTATATCGGGCGGCAGATTGCGCCACCTAGCGTAGTTGTACGTTATTCAATTCTCCCTAGATGATTCCAAGAAATGGCGATCGCCAATATTGCTTGATGGTATTTTGAAAAGCGCCCATCGTTCACGAAGCCGCCGAAAGAGAAACGTATTTGGCGGTATTCGGCGGTGGCTTCGTAACAATGAATTCGTTCCATGAGCACGGTTCAATCATCCGCATAATTTTGATTATCGAAAGGGTCTTAATGGCTTTGTTCCAAATCTTACCCAAATAAATCCGAGTTACTCCTGCGGGTCGTGTCACGTGACAAGACAGATTGAAAAACGCTGGACGCGGGTAGGTTTTGGAACGCCAAGGTAGAAAACCTTTACCCTGGAGTAAGATCGAGTAAGTTTTGGAGCACGACCGGAGTCACAATGGAATTCCCAATGCGCCAGAAGCTCCTCCCAACATCCTCGTTACCACAAGTCAGTGTTCCTCCGCGACGCGCAAACAATCCGCTACCGACGCTATATGGTATGTTGATACATCGTGCCGACGTCGCATAACATGGTCGGGTGTATACTGTCTTTCCTGATTGGTCCGCGGAACAATTCGATGCCACTTCGGGGCCCTAATCTGGACAGTTGGCGAGAAAGTCGGCGAGAATATGGCGGCCGTGATTGGACAACGCCGCACTTGATTTTTGGCGCCGGTCAATCATAGCCCGCCGGATTTCTCATCGACGTTTTCGCCGAGTCTGCTGAGAAACCAATCGGGACACATGGCGAAAAAAAAAAAAAAAAGTCGGCGAGATTTCTGGTGGCTCTGATTGGCCGGCGCCAAGGTCAAATGCGGCATTGGCCAATCACGGCCGCCAGATTTCTAGCCATCTTTTTCGCCAAGGGTCCAGATTAGGGCCCCAGATTAAGGCCCCTGGTACGTGGGGGTGTTTATTTCGCGCATTCCTGAGATGCACATGACTATGTCAGCAACTCAGAGATGCTTATCTAACGTAAACTTATTCACCACTATTTCTTTTATTGGAAGAAATTTAATTTTTATTCATGATGACTCGCTAGTCATTTTTTTTTCGCCACAGTGAATAATTAAGCCACTCTTCAGAATAAGGACAGCTGCCTTGGTGCTCGAAATCATTGTTGCCAGTTATCTCAAACTTGATCTAATATCTGAAGAAAACCTTTTCGGCCCTTCACATTTGCTAAAACAGTCCGGAACAGGGAAAAACAATACAGCCTGAGCTTCTTGGGACCGTATCCAAAGCAGAGCAAGCTGAATAGCAACGATCGATCGCAATAAAGATGTTTCGCCAAATTACTCGAGTACCAAGAGAATGCTGGAAACGCAGGTAACACGCGCTGCACCTTGGTGCTTTGGTACTTTCCCAAAGCGTGTCTTGGTGACAAGATATATTTCGGTGGTTCCTGTTTGTAAGGTCACGATCGGAATTCACAATTTCCAGCCACGGTTTTGATGCCGTGTGCGCAAAAAACTCACATTTCTTTTATATTTATTCAGAGAAGTAAAAACTCATCATACTCAAGACGTCACAGTGAGTGGTAGGCCAATCGTGGATGACCGACCACAGCGACGCATTTGGTCGCGCTCGTGCACTCATCGCTAAAATGGCGGCGTTCACGAGTCAAGTGTAATGAGGTGCCGATACTCTAAGCACAGCTCATTGACTGACCCTAGGTAATCTAAATTAAAATAACTCAATGAAGTAATGACTTAATATGTTTCCTGGAGCACGAGGGGGCGACAACCGCTAGTATGTGACAAGATGGCGGTGTCTCAGCGGGATTAACGAGCTTGTCGACGGACGCCCTTTCAACCCCGACCGTCACCACCCCACTCGGTACACCCCGTGTGGGCCCCTTCCCCCCAACCGGACAATCCCCAAAAACACGCGTCCGACGACTCCGACAACCGAAAGCGCCTATTTTAGCCCCCCCTCACCCCGTGCTGACTGAACCGCGGCACGAAAGCCTTGCCTCTGCCGCTCTCAGCAGCGGCGGCCTCTCAAGAAGAACCAAGATGTGTTTCTCTCCCCACGGGCAGATTCCCGAACCTCGTGCCGCCGACGGCGGCGGCGGCGGCGGCGTCGACGGGACAGCCTGGGCCAAAAATGGAGCCTCAGCCCCGGGCGCAGGCCCTGGCTTTGTATGGGGAAGGGGAAGGTCTCCGGCTGGGCGAGCGAGCCAATGGCGAGCCCCTCTCTGGTTTCGGGGGAAGGGTGTCCCGGGCACCCCGTTTATAAGCCGTTGCACGCACCCAGAGCCGCTCTACAGCACACAGCTTTCGAACGTAAGTGGACGTCGCTTCTACGTCCCTCGTCGCCGTCGCCAAACCAGCGCCGACGACGGTTTGCTCGAAGGGTCACCTTGATTGTGCCGCGTTGGATGTGTGTGAGCCGCGTCTGCCACCCCCTGCACCCCCTTCGAACACCCCTGCCTCTCCGGGACTGTGCCTGCGGGGGGGACCACGCAGTTACCCCCGCCTCTGGATACGCTGTAGCCTAGCGGCAACCCCCTTCTTCTTCTCTCTTTCTCTCTCTTTATCGCTCTCTGTGCGTCCGCGGGGACATCCTTTGAGGTCCCCGCCTACTTCTTCGCCGATACTACCCGGTAACTGCTCAGGATTGCGGTGAAATCCAGGTAAGCGCAGTCTTTGATGACCGGCCACCACCAGGCATGGATTACCATCAACGCTTTATGGGAATAGTCGAGCCTCCAGTGCAGTAGTTGGTGGACCTACTCCTAAACAGCTAGTTAAATGAACCACGTACGGTTCGGAGCACAATCGACTACGAGACCTGTACCTAGTGAGCCCCATATTATCCGCAGTAGTTCTGCAACCCACGGAGAGCAAGGTTACCAACGAATTGAAGCACTAGACGAGTGTTGTATGGGAGGCTGAGATTGCAATGCTTAGTGATTCAATCAAACAAGGTGAATAGTTACGCGTGCACAAACTATGCTACAGTAATTGTTGCAGTCACCGGTTAGCTTCAATTCTTACCATAGTCAACTAAGACCTGAGACCTATTACATGTCTTCGTCAGTACTCAATGATATCACCAACGGTTTAGAGCATAAGGAAAATACAATGTGTGCAACCGCCTTAGTACAAGTGGACAGAGCTATCGTGCACCATTTGTAGGACAGTTCAAATGGCAAGCCTATGGCCAACACGAGGCTGCATCTAGGATGGCAAGCTAAACATACGAGGGAGGTTGAACCTCAGACACTGGAAATCATTGTAATGCTAAGTGCACACAGCATGCATCATCATGAGTTGAGGCAAGGAAATAGGATGATTGTTTTAGCAGTTTTCGCATGAATTCAAGCTCAAATCAATAAATGCATCTGTGTGGTATCTTAACAGGTATAGGCATGTACCTTTCTGAAACACCAAAAGCACCTACAAGCTTAGAACGAGTGCTTCCGTCGGCCATCTTGTCGAACGTAGCAGTGCAAAAAAATGGCGCCCAAGCACACTCAAAAAAGAAAAGAAGAGGCTATTCATTGTAGTATATACGTCTCGTGCTCACGAATTATGGTCATGAATAGAACGGTGATCAGTATTTTGGGCTCAATCGGCATCGTTAATTAAGCTTTCGTTAACTTAAATAAAAAAAACACGAATAATGACCTTGACTTGACCTTCACTGTGAGTAACAAAACTGCTTAGGAATCCAATGCAGAAACCTGAACTGATGATGGATTTAACCAATATATATCTCTTCAACCGAAAATGTTAGTAAGATTATTGTTAGTAATTTTAAAATTCGTAGATTGCGACCTCCAGAATGCCTGCTTGGACCCAGCAGGACAAAACACCCGCCTTATTGTTTTCAGCTTTAATTGTCATTAAAGCTACAAAATATAGGTATTGCAATTGCAGAATAACTGATATGTGCTCTAGTTAACAGATCTTCTTACACATACCAGTTACAGAACCTGTTAGCAAGGTAGTACTTAGTTCTAACTGTGCGCTCCATACAAAATGGAGGTCCTCGAGCACCCGTGGCTTTCAGATATGCGTAGATTAGGACACTAATAATTTATGTATCCACATTATTGTAGGGAACTCGTGCCATCTATGCTGAAGGATTATTAATAGACTGCGGGTATTATATTCTCGTCGATGTTAGTAACCCTTCCATTCACAGCGTACATCAACAAAGTGCACTTCGTTTTATTAGCACGTGTATGTGCAAAAGAAAGGTAAAAGAGCTCGAATTTTCACTTTTACCTTACAAACCAAGTATGTATAGGATTCCGCGTTCCCCGCATATCCAGCACAACTTGGATATACAAAGACGTTTTATCCCCCCCTCCCCCCCCCCAACCGCCATGAAACAATATCGCATTTATAGTGACGTCATACTAATTCGGGGCATCGATTTTCACAACCGCTACGCTATCATTACCTTGGACATCCCGATTCAATCATTGATGTTCGTTGGTACGACGCCAGTCCCGTAATGGGAGAAGGGAAGTGAATGGGATCTGCGTTATCTGGGATGTGCTGGCAGAGCCCAAAGAGAGAGAGAGAGAGAAAAGAGAGGAGTATATTTTCGAAGTATTGCCCTTAGATTTCGCTTCGGTACTACAAAGACCTTCGTAACAGAGGCAGTGGTCAATGGCTTGCGCTCGCTCGAGTACATTTTGAGATTCTCGTTATGGGACCGAGTACAATTAAGTGGACTTAGTAAGAAATGTGGAACTTGTACTTGAGTTACGAATAGCTTGATGTGTATCCGCACAGTGCCCCACTGTTCGGCGGGTGAAGATGTTCGTTACCTGACACTGCAAGTGTCCCATTAGCCTGCAAACTGAAGAGCGAATAATTTTTTGTGAGCTTGGCGAAATGCCCTTAGAAGCCAACGTCCTTCAAATTCTCAGTATTTCTACAACCTTTTTTTCTTTTCTTTCGCCTAACGGGCGTCCCCCTTATTTACGTAACAGATAAAAAATAAGGCATAACAAATCTTACGGCACGCAAATTCCAAAGGGGTCATTCTTGATTCCAGATTCGGTGTTGAGTTTCTGCTACGCGCTTGCACGTTTCCTAAGTTTTTCAGTCCGATTGTTTCATCAGCGAGTAACTTCCTAGCTGAATTTTTGGGAAGGTTAATGCTCCTTATCACACATATCATGACTGGAGATTCTGGTTTCCAGCAATATTAATACAATAGAAATATGTATCAAAAATACGCGTTCACAGGCGAACGAATGTGCGTGGAGTCGGCATGTCTGTGACCTTACCTGAGAGCGCAGCGCACAGGCTCATTGGATTATTACACCTAAAAGTCAAAGGTTGCGCACAAATTAATTAAAAGTGGGGCAGAAATTCAGAGCACAAAAATATACTTGTGGCTTGATGACCTGCGCCCTTCCAGTCACATTGTTATCTGGAGGCAGAGATTTCATGCTTGTGCTCTGAATCAGATTAACCCTGTAGCAGTACTAGTTTCAACCGGCTGTTTGTGTTTAGTTATTTTTTTTTTTACCGTTCGATTAAACGCATCATTCGGTTCTTTTCGGTCAATACCGAAACCGGGAACTCTAGTCGCGATTAGGGATCGTACTATTCACGAACTACGTATCGGTGCAACGTCATCTAGATAACAATTCCGTAGTACTGGGTTTTCACGTCACCAATCTGAAACCAGCGCGATGCACACTGCGCTGGTCAGACATGAGTTGCGACAGCTTTCTGCTAAGACTCGTGTTCAATGAGGGAGAACACGAATCCCAGCCGAACGGTCACAAAGCCCGTGTGTTCAAGCCATGACCAGGTGCTGGCTTCCGATAGATCGCGTAGAAAACCCAGCACTACGGCCTTCTTATCTCAAAGCCCGTCAGTGCCCAGATGACCGGTAGGAAGGCGACAGAGTGACGGCGCCCCACTTTTTCTCCGGCAGGCAGGGAAGCTTCTGGGCTGTTCAACCGGTGACCTCTCACCAGCCGACCTCGCGCCACTCCGAAGCAGCCCCGAACCAGCAAGATGGCCGAAGACCCCGATCCCACCGACTACCTGTACGTCTCTCTGGAGACCAAGAGGAAGGACCAGACCAAGCCGTACGATGGCAAGAAGATGGTTTGGGTGCCCGACGAGAAAGAGGGCTTCATCCTGGGCAACATCAGCTCCACCAAGGGAGACATGGTCACCGTTGACTGCCCAGGCGGCGAGGTAGGCTCTGCTCCATTAACCCCCACCTCTACTTCTTCCGACTACTATGCCGTAGGCGTTTCCAAGCAGATACGCTTCAAAAGGTAATCTGGCCACCGTGGATAGATAATGCTTTGGTTGGGGCGCCAGCCTGGCAACCATAGGCTTGCCCACAGTCAAGGCTTTGCAGTCAGACGATCACCACACACAAACAGCGAGATGGCGCCGCCCAGAGGCCTCTGGACGCTGCCCTCTCGCTCTTGGTCGTCTGATAGTCAAGTCTGGATGGTTCGATGGATGGGTGGACGATAGGATATAAACCCTTTGTATCGTGCGGTAGCTTGCTCCACCTAGTCTAGAAATGGAGATGCCTTGCAAAGGGGCGCCCATAATCAACCCGAATCTCGCCCGAACAAAGTGGTTTCTACCCAAGGTGGTCAGATTAACTTTTAAAAGGCGGCTGCTTGCACACGGGTATTCCCTGAGGTTGAGACTAGGGTCACTGACAGAACTCTAAGAAACGCAGGGCATAGCTATTGCTGACTAGCCCGTTATGGCGGGCCAGTTAATGACGTTACATGGACATTGTAAAACTTAGTAAAAAAAAAAACTACGCAGTAAGTTAGTACAGGAGCGTCCATTGCTACCTAAAAGTTCAGCATACCACGTCGTTTTCAAAATACTATGAACGTGTATGAGAACAGGCTCAGCTGTGATTGTTCCAAAACCTTCAAAAACATCATAGATTTGCAAGGTTGTCTATACAGATCAAGATTTGGTAAAAAAAGTGGAAAATAAAAACACTGGGTAATTTTTTTTTTTAAAGTGGGTTTCAACGGCAACTATAATTAAATATTACTCATGATTGGAGGTAACTAACAATGTGTTGCATTTTTTTGCGCTGTCAGCGACTCTGGAATTCAGGCCATGCCACTGAGATATTGTCGTGCATATGATTTTATTGTTCCCTTGACTACAAAATGTACTGTAAGGGCTTTCAATTAAAAAAAAAAGTAGTAAATGAACATACCTCAATTCCTTAGAGCGGCGTACTTTGTGACTATCAAAAGTATCGCTCGATCCCGCTAACCTCGAAATGTTGCCAACATCAGCGAAGCTGGAGTGTATATGTTGCGTTTTATGCACTGTTCCAAGACATGTAAAATACACGTCTTGTACCGTAACTGCATCAGTGCATTTTTTTTAATGAAAAGCAGTACGAGTGCCCTTATACTGTGTGTTCCAGTGGAAGTAAAACAAAAGTGCGCATTAAGAATAGTCAGGTTTCTGCGCATAAACAGTACTAAACTGCAGGAAAATATCCGCAATTGCGCATGATGTCGGTGGGATAGTGCAATGCACTATCCCACCGACATTGGTGGGATAGTTAGTGCATTTCCGTGTGCCGCGAAGTGTGCATGATGTAACGGTGATCTTTCTTTCCAGGCATCTAAGTTTCTTAGGATCAGCGTACGAAAACAAAATCCGATTCAGACTGTGAATCAAACTAAAGATGAATTTCCGTTTCGTGGCTTTGCGTTGGTGGCGCAGTAGAGGGTTATTGAATCCATGGAGTTTCGTCGCATAATTTGGCGTCATGGTTTAGCATAAGCGGTGGCTTTCAATTGGGAATGATGAGGAATGTGACATTCACTTAATTATTCTCCGAGAGTTGAGTATAGCCTTCAGCGAAACATTAATTCAGAACAAATGAAACATCAGGCCACTATTTTTGTTCGGGTACACTCGGCATTTAAGCATCTTCATAATTTTAAGCGGACTCATAGAAAAGGGGCTTATCCCAGTCGTTTTTACCTAGCGCTAGAAATAAACGTCATATTAAAACATAAGGTACTTCTTCGCGGAAGTGCACGTAGAAGAAAGCAGGATATAGATTTTTTTTTTTGTGTGTGTTCATGTAACTGTACAGACCAAACTTAAAATTGTGTATTTTTAACTCTTTGCTGTTGAAGGAGCAAGTCCAAAAATGCTTGAAAACTGTCCATTAAATAATTGAGCGCATTTTTTTTATAATTATTTGTAAATAATACAATTGTCACACATTGAAACGGTCGCTACAAGCAATTCTTCCAAAAGCTTACTTTATCTAGGAGTGACAGTGGTCGAAATGTATTCCTAACAAACGTACGTGTGCACCCAATGAGACGTCTGGGAAGAGATCACTCCTGCTTCCGTTAGAGACCACGCCGACTTCCGGTGTCAGCCGAGCACCATATATTTCAAATAAAAAAAAGTGAAACCATTTAAAAATGTCTGTATACCTACTTCCCGGCAAAGCTCACGTCGCACCCATCAGGCCGAGTATGGAATAACCAAGGCTCAGATAATGAATTGATAAACATTTCTTTTAGCTTGGACATTTAACGGTGAGACTACTTGAACTCGGTACTCAACAGAGCACGTAGGAACCGATCAGTGCAACTCGAGAAGAAAACTTCGCAAATGCGATATTCCTCGCACCCAGGAATGCCGGTGGCGTCTGGACGCTGAGCACATCACACTAAGAGTAACACTGAGACACTAAGCGTAACACCCGGGCACTAAGCGCATGATAGTAAGCTTGGCTATGAAACTCTAGGCGGATGCTCAGTGACCAAACGCATGTGTCATTCCTGGGTCCCAACGTTATCTGGCGATTGTCTTTGTCAAGCAACTCCCCCGTGCTTTGCACTGATTGGACTTGGTGTGCTCGACAGACAAGTGAACCCAGAAACCCAATTTTAGAGTGCTGCTGTCAGTTCTTGCTCAACATCTTTTCTGGACTTGGTCAACCTCTGGCTCGTGAAAACCGATCACAAAAATCGGCTGCTCAAAAAAAGAAAAAAAAAAGAAGAAAACTACTTAGTGCTGCATGTGTATGCGGTTCTAAGTCAACCGAGGAGAATTGAGATAAAGCGGGTGCAAACATTGGTTACGCCTTGGATTTCAAAATTGTACTTTACTCACGACGGCAACAAAAACAATGTGGCTTCTTTGCCAAACAAAAAAACATTTCGAAATGTTTTTTTTTTCTTTTGGAGATGGTGCGTTAGTAAAAAAAAAAATTGTCAGAGCCTAATAAGGTTTTGTAACATTCTTTTTTAGTGAGTCTCGGGAGCCATAGTGATGTCTTCATGCCTAGCAGAGTGTATTGCGTCCCACTTGGTAGCACCGTTTTTGTTTTTGTTTTTCTAAAATAAGAATGTGTTTAAAGGCCAGAATTTTATAAAAATAACTTCCCCAAAACGTGCAAAGCAAACATGTAACCTGTATTATTCCTAATTTATCCGGGAAAATCTGAAATAAGGTATTGATAACCAATTCCCACCAATACCATTTCCCCTTTTATTGGTCATGGAAGCAAAGCGTAAAAGAGGTTACACCTCCTAACCTAGAAACTTCAAATTTGTCATACAAACCGAGCACATTCTTATTCACTTTTTTTTTCTTCTGCGAATCCGGGGCTCGTATAAGTTGAGAGTCGAGTCCGAACTGTCCGAACTCGAGGAATGCGAACCCTCGAAGCGCCCTGTTCTAAAGTTAAACCTAGGGGGGAGGGGGGTACCGCTTTAAATGGTCCTGAGGGAACCCAACACCGAGGGCCGGACCGGGTGTCTCGGCGCGGCTTGCGCTGACGTCATCCAGAGCGGGGCACTCCGCTATTTCGGGGTTCCCGCCCCTCGCCGCCGGGCGTATTTCGGGCGAGCCGCTCGGCCGCTTCCCCTTTTGTGCGAGCGGCACCGCGCGGGCCTTATCGGAGCGAAAAAGAGCCCCGGGTTCCGCCCGGCCCCGGGTGCTTCAGACGCACGCCCGTCAGACCTGGCCCGTGGGAAGTGGCCTGGAGAATGCAGTCTGCCAACACTGGAGAATAAACTGTCGTTCCCATTGGGGATCCACTTGAATCAGCCACAGGCGTTTTTAATTTAGGACACAATTCGTTTTTATTTCGTGTATCTGTAAAAAAAACATCGCAATCACAAGTTCCTGGAAAAGCTTTATCATTTTTTTTAACTTTATATGTGGTAGGGCGTTGAAGTCTTCCTAAACACCGATTGTTCAATAATCAGAGGATTTCTTGTGTTTTTTCTTGTGTTTTTTTTTCTTAAAAAAGTGTTTTTATTCTTTTTATAAACGAGAGTAATTTCATTATTTCTGGGTCGTTTATCAACTTTAGTGATTCGGAACTTTGAGAGCTAAACGCTCACGCTGCATACCCTGTAAAATGGCGAAAGAAACCCATTAAAAATATGAAATCTAAAGAAAAAAAATGCAAGCAAGCTGGCGAACGTTTGTCCGTAATGATAACCCCAAAACTAGGAACAAATATTAAAAAGAAAAAACACAGACATTTACGGAAATTGTTTTTTGCGCAGCGTGGTTCGAAAATACTGGACGCCTTTAGGCAACTTCTAAAGAAATTTAATGTTCTTTTAAGCGTAATAGCTCTAAAAGTATTTCATTTAGGTTTCGGGAGACTCATCTTTGATGCACTGAAGCATATAGGGCTACAACTGTATTTTCCGCGTTTCGCAGTGCTTATATATATATATATATATATATATATATATATATATATATATATATATATATATATATATATAAATACACCAATTGACACGTGCTATTTTTGCACGTAGCCCTCACAATTTTCTCGCAAACTTCGACAAAAGAAAAACAAGCAATACTCAGTGCAGAATTGCGTCCGTCACATAAGCCAATCGTATGAAATCTCGGCTGAAACTCGCCAACATCGCAATCTATCACGACTCGCTAGACATCCCGAGGAAGCCCGCCCTCATCTTGCTCCTTCGAGAAAGTCCGTTTGAACTCAAAGCCACAGTCCCAACGCATCGACACAGACGAAACGGAAACTCTTATAAAATCCCTATGCATACCTGTTCCTTTCTAACACCGAGACAAGAGCCATGGTCAAGGGTTCGAACCTCGAGGTTACCAGTGTGCCTAGGGCGTAGCGGCGCGTCATGTTCCCTGTCCCCGTTCCCCACAGCGTGTGTTGAAGAAGGACCAGCTGCAGCAAGTGAACCCGCCCAAGTTCGAGAAGTGCGAAGACATGTCGTCGCTTACCTACCTCAACGACGCCTCCGTCCTGCACAACCTCAAGGAGCGATACTACTGCCACCTCATCTACGTAAGTGCGGCGGCAGAAACCCGAGCCGGACCGACGCAAACGCCGCCAACGCCGTCGCCGCCAACGCCGCCAACGCCTTCCGTCTTTTCTTTGCAGCAAACGTCGCCGCCCAACTAACAAAAGCTGGCATCGGGATGCTCGGGGCCTAGGTGCCTTCCATGCACAAGGCTGAGCGCGTCCATGTTTTATGAAGCTTAGCAAACCGCTCTGACGCGTTGTAAGGTATACTTAGGCAATGATCACCACGTAAAATTACGTAAGAATCGTCCAGTAACAAGCTTTGTGCGATGGAAACTGCCTCCTCAGTAATTTGTACCGAAGACTGTGGACTCGGCAATGACATGAACGCATCAAGGTACATCTGGGTTGTTTGGTTATTGTTGACGAACGTACGACGTTCGACAGGACTGCAAAAAGCTTCTCCCAGTCCTTCGACACTTTTACTGACAGAAAGTGTCGAAGGCCTCTAAGCTATAGACCAACATTAGTCCACGTCTTCGTCAAGACTTCGTAACTATAGCTCGAGGACCGTACGTTGAGGACGCCACAGCCTTGTACAGGGAGAGCCCTTTCCAGTCTCCCCTCGCAGAAGCCTTGACGCTTGTCAAGGCTCAGAACGCTTGCTGATGGCGCGTGCTTTTGTTCTCTTCCCCTCTCTCTCCCCTATTCCCCGCCCGCTTTCTATCTGACCCGTCGCCACACTCCACCCGCCGCCGCACCACAAAACCACAACCCGTCACTCTGAAACCACACGCACCCACCCCACAAACAGCGCACCGTCAAGAAGGAGCTTCTGCAGCAGGTGAACCCGCCGAAATATGAAAAGTGCGAAGACATGTCCAACATGACCTACCTCAATGACGCTTCCGTGCTGTACGTCCTCAAAGAACGCTATTACGCTGATCTCATCTACGTGAGTATGAACACGAGACACCCGTGCCCCCAATCCCGTCGAAACGATGAGCCCAGATATCCCGCCCCGGATGCGTCCCCAGACATGGACTGCCAGTCTTGAGACCGCGCAGGCCATGGCCATGCCACATGGCCATCCTTCCTTCCAATCACACGTGCCCGAGCCACTTTCCATGGATGAACACCCTACCTGATGACTGTCAACCCTCATCCCTGCTGTTAGCACGGACATGAATGCGATCCCAGACCGAGTGCCAGTCCTAGGACCACAAGATGTCAGACAAGGACACGTCCTTGTCTGACATCATTTTTTCCACGAGTACCCAACTTCGTTCCTCTTGCCTATGACACGGTTGTCGCTATGGGTGGTTACCATGCGCGGGTTCGAGGAAGGTCTAATGAGGTTGAAGCAGCTATAAAAAAATTCATATTTTGTTAAAACAATTGCGGCTGACGACTCCTTGGCATTTGCATCGATCTTGAAAATATTTAAGGCTTCTGGTAAGACGTCAAAACACCGTTGCCATGGGGCACTTTTCCAGGAATGGCTTCTAGCTTTTTTCCTGTATCTAGAGCTTTAGAGAAGCGAGGACGTAGCTTAACCGATATGAACAATAAATGTTTAAAACATGTTAGGGGAAAACAGTGACTTATCCAAACATTATGTAGTTTTTTTTTTTTCTACGGGTAAGTCTTTGCAAAAATTATACTGCGCAATATGTGTTCATTTGCAGCTGACCACTAAAAAAAGCCTGTTCATACTTCAGCAAATTTCTGTATCAACTAAGAAAGATTTAACCTTGTTGAAACGTATTTCCAGCAGGAAGTCTGTATACCAGGAGTAAAAAATAAATAAGCCGCTTTACCTTACACTGAAGAACCACTACTCAGTACCCGCGCATGAGACGGCTATCTAGAGCTTTTCTCGGGTTTCTAGAGTATCCCTTAATTGTCAGTAGAGAATGAACCCCCGAATCCAACACCCTGAGTTATTTCCAAGCTCGGAGTGCATATGTCCCAACATGTACGCAAGACCCACCCCTCTTCATAAAAAAAAAAAACCTAGGGTCCAGATCTCACCAACTTGACAATCACCAACATTCTGTCACGCACCAGCACGACAAGTCGTCCCCCACTCCATGAAATCATGACACCATGCAACATGTGAATCCGCATGCGCATGCAAGCTCCTCCTCCCCACGTGCCAAAAAAAGCGCCATTCTGGCTTTTGCAGTATGCCTTTCTTTGTGTGCCTGTTTTTTTTTTATAAAGGAAGTGCTCAAAGGATGCCACTTTGTTATGTTTGTGTGAAAAGCTCTGAGTGATCGCTGCCTCTTTTCTATGGAAACGTTATCATTTCAATTTCCTTTGTAAATAAGAAATTTCACAGCTAGTGTAGCGGCAGTGTCAACCATGCACGTCAGAGTAGAGGATTCAATGATGGCATAAGTATATCCTACTATAAACATAGTTGAGCATTCTTGAAAACCAAATTCCCTTCTTTGACTAAAGCACTAACCAAGATTTAATGTCCATTAAGAATACAAAATTAATTAATTTTCGAATAATATTTTTTTAATCTTTGATCGACCTCAAGATTACACCTCGTTCGTTTGTTTTAGTAAAAACCAAACATTAGTTATTTATATTGTATCGAGACGCTGCATATATTCCTAATGGCACAAGTGTGCATAATGATGTCTCTTTAACCTAACACTTTGGTATCCTTCCTACACCATTCGGATGGCGTTAAAAGGCCGTCAAACCCGTTCATTTCGGAAACGAAAAAAATTTCGGATATTTTGAAATTTGTTTAACTGAGTGTTCGAGAATCGAGACATCATTTGCAGTTTGAAGCGTCACTCTAGTCAGTCAGATCTTCCATCCTTACGCAAGGAGTCCTGCTAATTGGCGACCTGATGGCGGATGGACCATAAGCTACCAGATGAATGCAAGCGACGGGAAAGCAGAGAATGCGTGCACTCTCCCAAGCGGTATCTTTTCTTATACTTAAAGCTTTAAAAAAAGAGACAAAAAAGTAACACTGTGGCGAGTGCGTTCGATCATCCTCCTTCTGAGTGTGGACGCAAAAGCGTCTGAAACGAATAAACTGCCAATGCGTCGCTGCGGTTCCTACACTTCCTTTTATCGAAAGTAAAAATGAATCCCGCTTTCAACCAACACTAGGTCGCTGATTTGCCAGGCCTTCTAGCACTGAGGGGGACCATGATGAAACGCTTTTGAGGCGAGCGTAGGGACAAAGGACTGACGCGTTTGCTACAACCTGCAGACCTACTCCGGCCTGTTCTGCGTGGCCATCAACCCCTACAAGAGGTTCCCCATCTACACTAAGCGCGTTGTGGAGATCTACAAGGGCCGCAGGCGCACGGAGGTGCCTCCCCACGTCTTCGCCGTTTCGGACGGAGCCTACATGGACATGTTGGCCAGTGAGTATCCCCGCTGGAGAATACTGTCGAGACCGGCTATAACGAACTCGGTTATATCGAAATAGCGGATATATCGAAGCGATTTCCGATTCCCGTTGACTTCGTTATAACCGCGGTCTCGACGGTATCATCAAGATGTATACTATGCAAACAGACGATCGCTTGCCTGATAAATCGATTAGGCAGTCTTCGAATGCAACACGCCGGTGCAACACCACTGGGACATGAAGCGGTAGGGCTGAAGTTTTGACGGCACCAACTCGGGCGCAGCGCGGGTCACATATTGGACAAGAGTGCTCTGGCAACGTTCGGCTGAGAATAGTGTTCTCGCTGAATGAACTCGAGTTCTAGCCAGCGCGCTGACGTAGCACTTGTGTTCAAGTTCTGCCCCGAGTTGGCCCTCAGTACGTGACGTAGACAACATAGCACGGCGGCCTTGTGATCTAGGAGAAATTGGCGCGACTGACAGTTCATATGGTTTTCTACTTTTCTCTCTCTCCCCCCCCCCCGCTTTTTTCTTTTTTGTTTTGTAATTCATTGCGCTTCCTGTGCTTTTTTTTTTAACTTACGACTCGTTATCGCCCTTTTTATCGCTCACTTAATTTTTTTGCACGCAGATGAAAACATCTCATCCAGATGATGTAACAGGTCACTCCAAAGTGAAGAACCTAAGGACACTGACCATGAAAAAGACGAAGATGGTCGTGACCTAAACAAACCGAGGAAAAAACAAAACAGACCCTTATATCCTTCCATTCCTCAAAACCCCCTTGTCATTATTAATATTAGGAAGAACGCCTGGTAAAACCAGAACTTCATATTAACGTTCACTGCCATCGGCGAATGACAGTTTAATTGTTTACCGGCAAATATAGGACAACACGAATCGGAACAGGCTGTTAACACGTTTGCGGTGCCGCAGCTCTACCGAGCCAATCAAGATCGCTGGCACCAAAACTCAGCATTTGTCTTTTTCTCTCTTTTCAGACCGCGAGAACCAGTCCATGCTTATCACGTGAGTTGGGCCATTTTGTTCTAGCCTTTTAAATATTGCTTACAATGTGACTATATAACATTTTTGCTACTCAGGGTCATATTACTAGTATTGCATAAAATAGCCTAGCATTTCAAGTAACATTTAAGCTATAGAGGTAAACTTTAATAGTATAAAAGTAACTTCTGATGACGAAAGTTCGGTATAATATATTGCTCACGTGATCACATTTTTACAATATATGAGGCAATAAGCACTTTGTTATTTTTATTGCAATTCAAAAAGTTCTAATTTTTTTCTTGTTTTTGTTTTAAATTTTGTAACGGGGAGAATTGGTTTAATATTTCAATCGATACATTCATGTGGGACCCTTAAAAGAACACATTAGTTTCTATGAAAGAAATATTTGCGCATATGACCGAACAAAAAAAGTGTTAACAAACCGTTTTGCTGAAATACTATCAAATAAGTGTTATGAAGCACTCGCACCTCAGAATTCGCAGGGGTAATCCTTTTTACTGTGCCGTCGGTTCAAGGGACCTAAGAAAATGACTACTTGGCACGTTGCAATTTTTCCAGATAAGTCACTCAAACGGTAAATGATGTTAATTTAATCTTCTAGCGCGCACACTTATCTGGGTGCAAAGCCACGCGCAAAGATTGTTATATACCACAGAACATAGTCTAAATTTGCTAGGAAAAAAAAAAACGCGCTGAGAGCGGCAGAGGGGAATTTATTTTGGCAAGAACTAGCAGTGTTATGAATCCCAGAGGGACTTGTTTCCACCGCAATGGCGTGTGTCAAAATAAATACCCGGCTGCTCCCGAAGATAGATTTGAGTCTCGCGAGCAATGAGCATAGCTGCCATCCGGCCATGTAAAAAATATCGTGTCTTATATATCTTCTCGAGACCGTAGGGGCTGAAAGTTTTTTCGAATTAATTTAAATTGACGGCACAATAAACTATTATTCTGGTCTTCCCTAAAGGTCCTGGTTGCAACGATTCCGTTCTAGAATTATATGTGAGCGTGTTTCTTTCCCGGAGTTGGTCCCCATGAACTGACGTTTGAACCCTTAGCCCACCCGAGCTTGACCCCATCTGAGCGTTCCACCTCCAGTAACCTGTGGTCCCTTTGTTGTAATCACCTCTCTGCCTCTCCTTCCTTCCCTCCAGTGGCGAGTCGGGAGCGGGAAAAACCGAGAACACCAAAAAAGTTATACAGTACTTCGCTCTTATCGCCCCGTCCGGCTTTAAGCAGCATTTTTCCAGCGGAGTAAGTCTTCCCCGCCTCCTGAGTGACGCAGCGAAGCGAGCCTAATACATCGATCAAACGCGTTAAAGCTTCAGCGGGCGATTTTTACGGAGCCGTTTCGCAGACGATCGGTCCGGTTCCGACCGTTAAGACGCCACTACTGCGCATGCGCGGGTTTCAAAAAAGTCTACTGATGCTCAGGCCCCAGGGCTCGCCAGCGGGGTCTCAACGGTCGTAATCCGAACGATCGACCGGACAACGGTTTCCTAAACCTCGCCGATAAAACATTAAACCGTCTTCGAAATCGTAGCGGTACGATCCCGATCGGTAAGATGCCGTAGCAGCGTATTACGCATCAACCGCCATTGAAAACGCAAGTCTGGGTATACGTCTGGTCCTAGCGTCGATGCGAACGCGCGGTGGAAAGATCGTATCGAACCTAGCCGTACCGATCGGTAACAGTCGGCAGGGCTATCGTCGGCAGATTATACCCACTGCGCGTGCGCAGATGACAAAGAGGCTAATGCACGGAACGTAGCAACGGTGTTTTATCGATTCCGGCGTACCGGTCGTTCGAAAACGGTGCCCTGAAGCTTTTAACGCGCCATTATTGTCGTTTTGCGAAAAGGCGGATTAACATGCATGGTGTGCACGCAACCAAGAGGCTCAACATTGCATTAGGGATCTAAAAAACAAAACTCTAAAAGAGTTTTTCTTTTTTTAATGTTTGTGTGCCAATACTCGGCGAAACACAACCCGCGTAAGTCGAATGCGTCGCGAACGCTCTCGCTATCACCTCGTACCGCACCGATAAAAACAAGGGGCATAATTGCTTGGGGTGTTTATCGCAATACCTATAATAGAAAATAAAATATTACTTACGTCGATCAATACGAGGAACTTCTTCGACGGAGCGAAGTCGAACGCCAAAGACCTCCCTCGCAAAGGTGGAAAAGCAGACGATAAACCGGGTCACCGGGACGACTGTTAGTGTTGCCAGACGAGCTTCTTCGTTTGTCTAAAAATGTCCAGAAATAGACAAATTGGGTTAAAAAAAGCTTGCGCCATCTAGGAAGAACAACAGGCGGCTCTTTTCTTACTAGTTACACGCGTCGGCTCCCCTGAATTACACTGAATACTGGTTTAATTAAGGCTTTTGGGTTATGAGAGGCAAAAAAATAAAACAAAATAAGCTCATATTTTCAAGCACAGTTGTTCCGAAACAATTCAATTTGGTGTCTAGCTTAATAGATAGTGCGGTTCACCGAGTTGATACGGGTTAGGGATTAGTCTAACGTTACTCAAAGGCTATAACTATGGATTACTATTTTAATTTCCTGAACAAGGCTGAAGTATTCTCTGGGGAAATATCAAGAATGGTTCGAACGCGAGCCAGTAAAGCCACGATTCCTACATTCCACCGAAATCCCTTCCACCATCCGACCCTGTAGTGCTTCCCCGAGAACTAAACAGACGTGGTGTTAACCACGTGTACCAAACCTTTTAGGTCCAATCCTTCCATCCCCGAAATTCTTACCGGCAAACCCTAGCCAACCCGACACACCCATCCACACCAACCACTCACCCAACGTCAAGCCCCGAAACCCTTCGCGCATCCTCCAAAACCAGCCAATCAATGTTTTCGTTTTCTTTTTGTTTTTTCGCTCCTTTCTTTACCCTCCCCTTTGAAACCTGGATCATGCTTGGCGGTCCTAGCGGCGAGTCTGGTGCCGGTAAGACGGAAAACACGAAAAAAGTAATCGCGTACTTCGCCCACGTCGGCGCAAGTAGCAAGAAGGAGGAAGTCAAGAAGGACACCAAGAAGGTATAAAGGCTACCCAAATCCCCCTCCACGTAGCGTAGTCAAGCCTCGTCTCCTCGCTGTGACTTTCCCTTAGACCACACCTTTCATTAAGTAGATTCTTCTGTGCACCTCCTTCTGAAACTGAGACCCCCACACATCCTGATGGCCCTGCTGCTATTTGCACGGACATATTTACATTTACAGCCTTCGAATGTCCCTCACATGTTTCCTAAACCTTCAAGAATGTCCGTCAAACATCCCACGTGATCGTTTCAACACCTCGCGAACACAACGCTCCCGAGAGAGCGTACTGACATGCCATCAATAGACCATTTCCAAAAATTATCTGTGGAATATGCGCAACTTCTGCGTAAGCGGTGTCTCACAGTGCTTCCCTGTCATGCGCTTCGACATCCAACACCGCGAGCTCCGAGTTTTGAAAATGGTTTATTGTGGTAGTCGTTAGTAATCTAGATGGCTGCGTTGAAGTTCGCTGTTGCTGGCCTGCGCTATAGACAAGCTTGCTTCTTAGCGTAACTGAACCGACCTAACCAAGTTTTCAAGTGCTTCCGCATGTGAGTTCCATTAACGAGTTATTTTTACTGACCCTTTGTACCGGGCCACACCGGTAACACGTAAGAAAAGCAAAAAGACCATCGCCAACTCCTGCTGGCCCACCAATCAAGGAACATACAACATTTGTCGCCAAGAGAAATACTACCCTGGAGTTGAAACTGTCTTACTGACAAGAGCTTACTTGAAAGCCCCTCGCCGAAAGGCCCCCTACGCAGTGATGACGGCGAGCTCCTATTGGGTCCTTTACTCCAGAGAGAACACGATGTCGCCTGCATGTCCATAGGACGTCCATTGGACATCGGGATGACTCGTGGACCAACACAGTTGCATGTTTGGTTAGGCAGGACGATGCAACATGGCTTTCGTGTTCATGGCTTTTCCTCTGCACATCTCTTAAGAAATAATGAGTGCACAACGGGCGCTGATCCTAAGAAGATTGTAGATGTGAGGAGTTCTCACGTACATATGTTCCCCAAAATAAGGCTTAATTTATAAATAAAATAAAATTAACAAACTATTCGGAGCTAAAACAGCAAGTTTATTTACTGCCAAAATATTACTGGCCTTCACCAGTATGGCGAAGAGTTGTTGTCATATGTTGACGTTTTGCTTGCAATAACTTCGAATTGCGTGAATGTTTGTTGGCTTGTGCATGGCCACTTATTTCCTGTGAAATGTGTGGTTCACCACCGTTTTTTTGGAAATTAATATCTTGTTGCTGTGACTGTTGTCTTTTGTACTTATAGCAATGCGTTATCGTCACTTATGGAATGACTGTTTCTACAAAATATCGCATTGAATAGGGCCTAAAATATTCCATAGTGCAACTTAATTATCTTGTTTTTATCACAAAGTCTTTCGCAGTGCAACCTATAAACAGTAATAACAAGAGCCGGCAAATAATGCAGATTTCGGTGTCGATTTATGTCTTGTCGTTATTTAGAAATGAATCATCAGTGATGCGTCCGTAAAGCGTAATAATGTCCAGTACCATACACACAGGAATTAAAAGAGCAATTTTATTTATAGTAAATACTTATGTAAAATTCTAGTAAAACACTCAAACTTATATGACTCGCTCCTACAAACTAGTGAATTGCCGTGTTACCTCTCACTCATACGAAAATAAAGAACATCAAAGTTTTACTAGTTGGTAACTCTGAAGCTCCTGGAGATTAGTGATGTACATATCTTCCGCTACATTTTACTCGGGGACAACTATTCTTGGCAATAAATAGAGTTGCACTTTCCCATTTTGAGCGCTGATTAAAGCTGTGCGCACGGTCTCCTACTCTTTTCGGAAATGCCCACAAAAGTTGTCCCAGAGTATAAATGCCTTCAGTAGGAACTTTTGGAGGATGATATACAAGAAATATTCATTACTATAGTCCATTGCAACTCCAGAGGGTAGGGCAAGGGAAAGGAAGGGCGGGGAGGAGGAAGCAGACGGAACGCTGGAGAGAGGGAGGGGCTTTCCCCCCTTTTCTCTAGTGTTCCCTCTGCTTCCTCCTCCCCGGCCTTCCTTTTCCTCGCCCTACCTTCTTAAGTTGCAACGGACTACGGAGGACTGCAAGTCCGGACTGAGCACACGCCCGCAGTGTTCGCAATCCGCAGTGCACTATTTACGAAAAGCCCCTACTGTTCCTCAACCACCTAAGTGTATACGCTTCGATAAAAGCTACGCTAACCGCGAACCACCCTTCGACCTAGGGCAACTTGGAAGACCAAGTGGTGCAGACGAACCCTGTCCTTGAGTCCTTCGGTAACGCCAAGACAGTGCGTAACGACAACTCTTCCCGCTTCGTGAGTATATGCTTTCTCGTAGGAGTTCATCGCGTCCCAAGAATGTCTCCGTGGAGAAACCCGTAGTCTGAAACTCTTCGACTCTTCACTCACAGGGTAAATTCATCCGTATTCACTTTGGTCCCATGGGCAAGCTCGCTGGTGCCGACATCGAAACATGTAAGCCAGCACCTTGCCTTCTGTTTCAGTAGTGCGCACGCCTGATGGTGATCACGTGATGTTATTACGTGACCATGTCATGTGATTACCTTACACATATCCTATATAAAAGAATTTTGTCAGGGATGTTCGAAACTGGCTGTAATATTTTTTTTTAAACAACGATGAGAGGAATTGTCGTCGTAAATCTTCCTCGAAGTGACCTTCCGATGTGCATTATATCCTGATATTGTTTATGATTGCTCGCAGATCTGCTAGAGAAGGCCCGTGTCATCTCCCAGCAACCCGCTGAGCGTTCCTACCACATCTTCTACCAACTCATGTCCGGCAAGATTGCTGGCCTCAAGGGTAAGGCGGAATTTTCTCAAGGCACCTGTAGATGATCAGTTATAAATGAGTTCACGAGTTCTGAACATGCTCATGTTGTCAGTTTAACAAAAAAAATTCTTACTACAGAAAATTTTTGCATAGAGAAAACGTTCTTCATAACGTTTAAAACTTCGAAAAAAAAAAACGAGATTCAGTAAAAAGAAAAGGGCAGGAGTTTTATATCTGCTTGTGTTTGTGAGAAAAAATAACTGGATAAGAATAATGTTAAATTAGATATGATGCTATATTACAAATAAGAAGAACGGACGATATCGCAGAGTGAGGATGAGTTCCAGATTTTCGTTATTATTTTTAACTTAATTCTAGAGATATGCATAGATATTGTTTTGGTACCCACAACATTGACATGCTGCCGTAGATTTGTGCATAAGTTAAATCACATGCTTTACTATATATTTTGTACGAACCAGTAAGACAAAAAGTAGTTAGTTGATAGAGGAAAAAAAGTTATATTGCCTGGTTTTATATCTGATTTATGATCCTAAACCCGCTGAGAATAGTAGAAATTTGATTTCATTAAATAGGAGCGTGCCATTCTAGAGCCTTTTTTGTTTTCAAAAATAATATTAACGACTGCTCTCGACTATTCCACTGCCTTCCGCTAAGCTTATTACGGGTTATTCTATCTTTAAAAGTAGCTATCTTTGTGTATTGTTTTTGTGTGAGTGGTTTTGTGTTATTTTTTTAAATATATAAATGAACATTTTTGTATGTTTGAGTGCTTATCGGCACAGTGTCATAATTTTGTTTGTGGATCACATCGAAGTACAAAGTTCGACATTTTGAAATGTGGTAGGCTTTTGAAGAAAACGAACATGAAACATCAATGACACAATAAATTTTTTTAATCTTACAATTTTATTCAATTATGAAAAAACACCGCGACACCCCAGGTCACATTAACCGATTGAGCGAACATCCGATAAATAAGAAAGGCACGCTAAGTCCGAACCTATTTCGCAAATGCCATACTGAGACCTCCTTGAAACATAAAATTCGAAACGAATGACATCATGCCAAGGTGGCTAAAGGCCCGTCCACACTCTTGCAACCGAGTACGACCGAAAGAGACCAGACCGGTTTTTAAGCCTCTTGCGATCTTTTAGTATCAGCTCCGCTGCCTCGCATCCGGTCCTAAGAAATCGCTCTCAGTCGTACTCGGTCGCAAGAGTGTGAACGGGCCTTAAAGGCCCGTTCACACTCTTGCAACCGAGTGCGACCGAGAGAGACCAAACCGGTTTTTAAGCCTCTTGCGATCTCTTAGGACCAGCTCCGCTCAGTGCATCCGGTCCCAAGAAGTCTTTCTCGGTCGTACTCGGTTGCAAGAGTGTGAACGCGCCTTAAGACTCAAGGGACACAAGACACAGCTGGATGTCAAGAAGGGTATACTGCTTTTGCGTTGGGCTAACATTGCATTGCTGATCTGCCGCTTCTCAAAGCCGTATAGGTCAAAGCAGCAAAGCTTCGATCGCGGATATTGTGGCGGAGGCCATAGTGTCTCTACTCGCGAAATATAGTGGTTGCAGGAGAACTAAGACTTCAACTCCGTAATGCATTAATATATGAAAAATTGGGATTATCGCACACGTTGGTGTCGTCAAATTAGAGAGCGGAACAGATTTGTCCTTTGTGCCGCTGGGTTTCTATTCTGTTCAGCGAACGCAGCTCCAACAACACACAAAGTGCAGTCGAAATATTTCATAAATGTTGTTCAGATGGAAGCGTTCGATGGCAACCACTATACTTTTGTTGTTAAAGACTTACACGCTTAGTGCTTTCTCAAAAAAAAAAGCGCATTTGCTTCGCAAAGTGCCCTCAACGTGCGTTGAGTTACAATTGTTTTTGTCATTTGTGTAAATAAGGTCAATCAATTTCTTCGCAATCTTTATGCTTCATAGCAGCAATCTACCCAGTCTTGATTTTTTTTTATGTCACGATGCTGACTGCCGTTATCGCCTAAGTATAATTTAGAAATGTCTTACGGCTTTGTGCTTTCTTTGCTCAACGCGCTCTTGCTGGCTTGCCTTAAAGGCCCACATATGCTGCTGGAGTGACTTGGTGAATCAGCTCTCGGGACACCTCAAGATGTTGTTGAAACTTACACAAATTTAAAAAAAAAAATGTATGCCCTGTATGAACTGTAATATCTCACAAGTAAAAACTACTCTCCCAACCGCTGCCATCGTAAAAATGCCTTGTGTATGATGGACCGGTTATTGCGAGAACGCGACTGTTGGCGGCGGTGATGGTGAGAGGTAATCCCGTCGTCAACTTGATTCTTATTATTCTTTTTTGTGCGGAAGCACAAGTAGCGAGCTGCTCTTTCTTTTTTTTTTTTTTTTTTTTTTGCAGCAAAAAATTATTATGCGTCTATTTTCGCGAGGTTTCCCGAGCCTTGAGTACTCCAGTCCTGCCCGAAACCATCCGCATCATTGTTTGTCTTGTCGCTGTGCTGCGGCTATGATTGCCGCAAACACCTCCTTGATTACAACGCCCTAGTACTTGTTTTTCGACGTCACCTACTGAAGGCCACCTCGTCCTTTGGTAGGTGACGTCACTTACCGAAATGGAAACGACTGCAACTTTAGCGTTGAGCGTTCGATCAGTTAGAACACGAGGTCCGGCCGAACGATGACTCATCCCTCGTGCCTGATCTCTGTCCCATGCTAGCCTTCGGTGGGTGACGTAGAAAAGTTTGCGCCACGGCCTTGTTGTCAAGTAGGTGTTAATTGCAGTCGCCCAGGGCTGTGCCGCCGCCATAATCTTTCGCTGGTGAACAACGGCGCTCTGCTGGCCGGCGCTTTGCTTGCTTACCTCCCAACACAGAGAAACTGCTGCTCATGCAAGACATCCACGAGTTTCACTTCGTGTCTCAGGGTAAAACTGAAATCCCCGGCGTCGACGACGGCGAGGAGTTAGAAGCTACTGACGTGAGTATGATGGAAGCGTTCCAGCGCCAGTGGCAAGCACATGCGCGTCATCCTCCTCGCCCGGAACGCCAAAAACCCCTTGTCCGAGATACCACTAGCACCCACCGTTCACTCCGTCCTCACGTACTCACTGGTTGACCGCCCCTGAACCTGAGAAACGAAAAACCGCTGTTCGTCCACCGGTGCTTCCTCGGAGAACAGTTTTTCCAGGTGACACAGACCGACCAGAACACAGATCAAACCTTTAGTCTTGGCTCCGACACTTTTCGGAACGGAAGCTTCGTTGGCGTGTTCTTTTATCATATAATGAAGCTCTTTGATGACCAAATCTGCGTTAAACGCTGTCGTTCTCGTCAGAGACTAGTGCCGATCCCGGATCTGTCCTTTAATGTGCCGATTTAACGTCTGCCACTTTATTTAGATTTTCCCGTAACGAAACAATCCACACAGGAATCTCACTCTAGTTTCATCGCTTCGGTTTTACGAAACTTTCATACTCTACTAGAAGTATGGAATCGACCTACACACTTGCATACTTATCTTCGGTCTGACAGTGTTATGGCTCCATCTGAGTTCCATCAGCCAAAAAAAAAACTATCCTGAGCAGTTTTAGTTTTCAAATAAGAACGTATCTAATTCAGAAGTGCTAGCACCACAAAAGAAAATCCTCTCTATTTAAAAAGAGCAATATCTCATGTTTTGCGAACGACAAAGTCATAGCAGCATATATTGGTGAATATTCGCAAAGCGCTGCTTTACATCGTGTCACGGGGAGATGTAGACCATTTTATATATTCGCCTTCTGCGCCCCGTCATCCTTGGCTACTGGTCCGTGGGACCGCTCCGAGCATGAGCTGTGGCTCTTTTTTTGTATCGATTATCAAACACCTGGCAGGCGTCCTTAGCTCATTGACTCAGCATCTTCCGTTCAGGCGTTAAGCACGTTAAAGGTGTGTGGCCAGTTGTACACCAAGTTGCGCCCAAAGAGGCCGCTAGAGGACAGATCCACGCTCGGCGCTTGAGGCGACGTGGGACATGACGCAAGACCTCCTAACTTCGAGGCTCCTATTCCTTCCACGCCCTCCCCGACCCGGTCTCCCCTTGCAGATAAACTGCTCCTTTCCAACAACGTGAATGACTACCATTTCGTGTCCCAGGGTAAGACTAGCATCGAGGGTGTCGACGATGGTGAAGAGTTGCTTGTTACCGACGTAAGTAGTGACCCTGTCCCTTTCCAGCACGACTGTTCACCTTGTCACCCCCTCCTCCTCCCCCTCCACCTCGCTCTTCTCCCACATTTGTCCTCCTCTGTGTTCTATCTCAGTTGCCTTCCCAAATCATTACCATCATCACCACCATCGTCATCATGCTCATTTTAATGTCAGTTCTTGTATTAGGACATCTTTTTGAGTGTTGGGATCAAGACTGGGGAAGACGCGTCACCTTAGAGGTTTTGCCAGTGGCGAGGTGTGAACGATGTGTAGCTTTTAAAAGCCACTGCGCCGAGTATTATAACGCAGCATTTTGTACCATGCCAAACGTTATGCGATCTAGAAAGTACGAAAGTGTAATACCGATACGATGGTGTTCAACTGAACACCAAATAGATTGATTTATTAAGCTCATCTGGCTTTATTTTTCAACCTAAAAATGAATGCAAACTGAACAAAAAAAAAAATCTTATCGTCTCAATATTTTTTTGCATGTTTTAGTATAAGCTTTAAAATTAGTAGATATGGGTTCTTACAATAAATATCACCATTATAGCTGACCAGCGTGACAATAAAACCCAGTGTGCTTGAAATAGACAACCCTTGTACGTGGTTATAACATCAGGTGTGTTATCTCGAGCACGAAATGTCTACTAAGTATTTATTTTGAACCCCAGAAGAAGCCAAAAAAACAATTGCTCTTTTTTATAAAGAGCATACCATCCCAACTATTTCACATAGCCGTCTCCTAGCCTGCAGTTGAATCGACTAAAAAAAAGAATATTCATCATACTTTTTGCGTGATGAGGTAAGACACAGCTAAGCGCCAATGTGAATGAACAAAAAACTGTATCCAAAAAAATTCAGTAACTGTTATGATGACTCGACACGATCGACCATCGAACATGTACATAATATAGTATACTCATGCGAAATGCTAATGCTCGCTACATGAAGTATGCGCGCGGCATCTTACCAGGTGTATCTCCGAAGTGAGCCTAGCATCTACAAGACATATTTTTATACAACTCAGCTGCTACTCCTCTCGAGTGTTACGTAGTATAACAGCTTCAGCATTCGGCGATAGGTGCAGCTACAGTCAGTCAAACGTCACGCACTGAACAGATACTGCACTGAAGACTGTCTGCAAAATGGCGACGCACTACCAACCATAGTAGGATTAATGGTTATTGAGCAGTTCCCTAATGTGTTTATGTTTTTGTCTGGCATAGGAGTGGTAAAAACGCCTCACTGAGCAGATGCTTCATTGAAGGCTGCTTCTGCGCAATGGGGGTGTACTACCCACCTTACTTGAACTAATGGTCTGTAGAGAATTTCCCGAATGTCTTGGGCACTTCCCTACTTCGGCAAAACAATTTAAACCACGTTACAATTTGTTTCACGTACGAGGGTAGACGTTTTGACCTCTTTGGGGTGTACAACGCAGACGGCCTTCGACGTGCTCGGCTTCACCGACGAAGAGAAGGAAAACATCTACAAAGTGACAGCGGCCGTGATGCACTTCGGTTGCCTTAAGTTCAAGCAGAGGCCCCGCGAAGAACAGGCCGAGGCCGATGGCACCGAAGAAGGCGAGCGTGTCGCTCATCTGCTCGGCCTGAACGCCGCCGATCTGTACAAGAACCTGCTCAAGCCCCGCATCAAGGTCGGCACAGAGTTCGTCACCCAGGGCAGGAACATCACCCAGGTAAGCGGATTGGTGACCCACTCTCTCTAGGACCAAAACGCTGTATGTTCAGTAGCTTTACCGTAAATATTAAACACTTAAATATGCTTAATAGAGAAGTCGCATGGTATATGAGGTAATCATTGGCCGGCAAAGTTGCGTGAGTGTAGTTGTTGGGCGCATGTGGACAATGAGCGTTCACCAGATGTTTCTCAGCTACCACAACTGTTGCCCTAGACACGGGATAAGTTAGTTTATGCACAGCTCGTGCTAATGACCTCATGAAAGAATCTCGTATAGTTGCAACTGTACGAAAGACAAACTTCAAAATAAGTCACGTAATATTTTTAGTGTCCGCTCGCAAGTGAAGGAAAATCCGTCCACGCGTCAAAACTGCTGTCGTTATAAATAGTTATTTTAATACAAAATACTCCACATCTTTGTCTTCTTTCTGGGGGAGAAATTTCTAATGACCTCTATGCTTCTCGTGTAACTAAGTTTATGTTAGTTTTTTACCGAAGTTCTGCGTAGTATCAAACCAATAAGAGTCGAAAAACGTATGAAGGGAAGCCGCACGATGACCGTGTTTCTTCGGACTTGTTCAGGTCACGGCCTCGGTGGGTGCCCTGTCCAAGGCCATCTTCGACAGGCTCTTCAAGTGGCTCGTCAAGAGAGTCAACGAGACCCTGGACACCAAGCAGAAGAGGCAGCACTTCATCGGTGTACTCGATATTGCCGGATTCGAGATCTTTGACGTGAGTCGTCGACCGTGCCTTCGGACGGGCACCGGGCCCGGCCTTTGTTTGGTTATTTGTGACGCATTAAGAAGTTTTAATAGATCGTTTTGAATCTTCTGATATAGATGTCCTATAACAATAGGCACGATGCATGCATAAAGGAATTGGTGGTGTATAGGGTACCGTTATCGGGGTTATTGGAACGATCTACTAAAACTCCCTATTATAAGGACGCTTTTATCGTTAAATACACCTGACCGTATTACAGTTCACTTGGAAAGTTTCGTTTTACGGTTTGAGAAAGGATTTAGACAATATTTTCCGCCATTGTTTAATGTTCTTACCAACCGGACAGCTTCAGATTGAGCATGTACTATATATCTAGGTAGCTCTTACTGCCTTTATTTATTAGAAGCGAAATATTTTGCGACCAATTACGAAGCCAGGTGCACAATTTAAGTTCATGATTTTATAGTGTCTTCATTTATTCTCGAATGTCGGCTGTCTAACGACAATAATTTTTCTTCAAAGAAGCTTTGACGTTCTTTTAAACGACGAACTATTTGGTTCTTATAGTTGAACTGATGTTAGAAAACAAAATGATATAACGGAAGACACAGAACGTTAATCAGTTGGTCTTTGTTCAGAGTTCTATTTATTTTACTTTGTCCGATAATTACACATTATTCTCTCCCTTCAACAGCGAAATGGCAAAAGTAGGTCCTCCAAAGTGCGGCTGTTGCGGTGCGAGGCGGTGGCATTTCGGGAGGCGGTTGTTGTGATAGCCTTATATTACCGTCCCTGTGGCAATATATTGTGAAGCCGAGATATTAAGGTTAACGTAAGGAGTAGTACCAAACCTCACCCCCCTATACTCACCCGCAGTACGGCTTAGCCCCTCGTCTTGGTAGAACAATCCGCAAAACAATTCCTTTCCTAGACGTCTTCCAATACCCTGTCCACGATCCTCTGCTTCCACTGTCCATAACACTGTTGACCCCAACTCCCCTAGTTACCGGCGCTTATCTTTGATATTCGTGAAAATTCGTATTATTTTATTCAAATTTTGAGCTAAAACAGTTTAGAATTAAAGGACAGGAAAGAGAGAAGATTTACTTTAATATAGGTTTATTCAGCAGTTCTGTACAGTAAACTTTGTGAAGTCGCAGTACGCAAATAAGCTGATTTAGCTCACATACCAACCATCCTGTAATAAATTAATTGTTCTTGTGAAGAAGTCTTAGTGGCTGCATAACTACTTGTTCAGTTTGGATGCAAAAGATGCTTACAAAGATTAACTTTGTTACGCAGAAGTGGCAAAGTTAAGGCCATATCTTCTACATGGTAAAAGCGACTACCACGATCAGTGGAAGTTCATATTTAGCCTGATATTCATAGCCTGTCTACATAAATGCCCGCATAAAATATGTTTTATCTTTCCGCCTCCTTACAAATTAACTCCTTGGAATCATATTATATTTTAAATTTGAAACCTTTGTCTATTTTTTTTGGTATGCGCCCGCTGTGTGCGCCAGATCTGAAGCACGTTCCCGTCAACGAACGCACTTTCGTTTATCCTTCTTTCCTACCGTGATGAAACCTTCCAGTGCCAGCTGACAGGTTTGTGTTTTGCTTTCGCTACATGAAGGACGATTATTACGGAATCATCTGACGTGTCAGCTTTCTCTAGTGAGGGAGTAGGATGAACAGACTGCAGTCGCTCCCATAGTTGATCCCGAATTTCCCCATCGATCCCGAAGTGACCTTCTCCTGTCCACCCTTCGTCGCCCGTCCAACCTTACCCCTTTTCCCCTCACCCCGCAGTTCAATAGCTTTGAGCAGCTGTGCATCAACTTCACCAACGAAAAGCTGCAGCAGTTCTTCAACCACCACATGTTCGTTCTGGAACAAGAAGAGTACAAGAGGGAGGGGATCGAATGGGAATTCATCGACTTTGGGCTCGACCTGCAAGCGTGTATCGAGCTCATTGAGAAGGTAAGATGGCCGGGCCACCCCCATAGCCCGAGCCATCGAAACAAATGCAGGCTTCGCTGATACGCCAACACCGCAACCGCCGCAAAAGGGGACGCGACAAGTCGCTCTGTTCGCGAGTGCTTCCGAAATTGTTTGGCGTTATAGCGTCAATCCTATAGTCTCTAATGCTTGACTGTATTCTGGAATCTCTTTCAGTAGACTTCTTTATGCACCTGGTGTAATTTCTCCAGGTCGCCTATACCGCATTTAAATAAAATTACTGTCTGGAGCTTAAAGTCAAGCAGTCCTCTAGCCTTGGGCTGATGCTGTAACGCTATTCATGCAAGTTGTTTCCTTGAGCTGAAACATCTAACCGCAAGGCGCCTTCTGCTCTTTTGTTCCTCACACCTTTCCACGTTACCCCAATACCCACGTCAATTTTGACATCATTTCCGCCACCACCACCACCACCACCACCACCACCACCACCACCACCACCGCCACAAAAACTGTGACGTAAACTCCTCTCGATTACAATTTCCCTGCCACCGTCCACGTCATCCCACAACCTTACCTCGGATAACACGGCACCCGACAATATCCCGTCTTCGACAACACCATGCCTCCCCACGACCTTCTATCGCTCCCCAATCTGGCATGGTCCCCGGTGCCCAAAACATTTCCCCGATCCCAAAACAGTACAACGGCTTCGAGCAAATTTGCATCAACTTCACCAACGAAAAGCTGCAGCAGTTCTTCAACCACCACATGTTCGTTCTGGAACAAGAAGAGTACAAGCGGGAGGGAATCGAGTGGGTCTTCATTGACTTTGGACTCGATCTCCAAGCTTGTATTGAACTCATTGAAAAGGTAATCTCTCGCGTGCCACCAGTTAGATGCCACTAGTTAGGTGCCTCTCTAGGAAGTAGAGCAACAAGCCCAACAACGAAGTGATCCCTGCATTGACCCGCTCCTAGTACTGCTTTTCTAGTTACTGACAGAGCTAGAACGGCAGGGAGGAGTTTCAGTTGATCTCCTCCAGCGCAAGCTTCCTACCTTCGGCAAAGCTTCGACGTTTCGTGAGCCGCCAGTGTGCACGCGCAGACCAGTTCACGGCTGCAGGCAACGAGCGGGTGCTGGAGGTCGGACGTTTCAAAGACACTCCCTGCCGTTGTCACTTTGTATGTGACAGTAGGGTAGACATTTGGTTATCCAATAGCGAACGAAGTATACGGTGCATGCCACGTTAAAGAAACAAGTAGTCGAGGAGCCTTGGCATATGACCTTCAATATTTCACTTTCAGACATAATGCATTTTTGTTTCCGAAGACGTCGATTTCATTACGTAACATTGTTTCAATCGACACTCAGAGTCTCAGCCGACAGTCAACAAACAATAATAGAGAAGCTATTTTTGTTTTAATGCCCTTCAGTATCGTTCTTAGTCAAAACACCATGATATCAACCAGCGCACAAATGACCCAATGCATGCCATATTGATTGATGAAGTTAACATTTCGAGACGTCTTGGACGGTCGCTGATGCTTTGCTAACGGACGTAGGTTTATCAGAGAAGCTGTGATTGTCATAAAGACACTGACTTGCACTCTGAACTATCTCGAGTTGAGCAGCATTTGAAAGATGCATATTCGGCATCTATCAATGGGCAGCGTGGGGCAAAAGTGAATCGATGCGCAAATGGTTCGGCGACATAGACTCGTTCGTGGCTACTCGTGATCAAAACTTCAAACCTTATGTTCACCTTAAAAAAAAAAAAAGTAACAGATTTTTTTCGGCAACTTGCTTCACGCGGTCTTACTTAATGCATGATACATAATATCTTATTTCACTTTTATCAAATATCTGTTGTTCTGACGTAGGTACTGAATTAAAAAAAAAACTCTACAAAACACTATGCCGGCTTTTTAACACGCGTAAAACGATGCATGTTCTGTTTTAAATTGCTACTAATAATTACGTATTTTTAGGCTCTTGTGTTGCTAACAGAATTGTAAGCTGTGACAAATGTTTATCTTTCAAGCTGGAAAATGAAGAGTGCACGTTCCTTGGATGTGTATAAGGCGGTGTTCTTAGGTTATTATTAGTGTGCAGTTGAGATTTACATTGTTCCGATTAATCTTGCTTTTTGGTTATCTAGATTTTATCATTCTATTTTAACGCTACAATCTGTAAAGAATTCAACATTCAATAAAAAATTATACTTTGTTAGAATAAATGTGTCAGGAAATTGCGAAAGGAATGCTTAATGAATCACGATGCTCAACCGAACGGAGGGAGCTTTCGGCGGTATATTACTTGGGAAGAAACAAAATTTTAACAAATAATTATAGCAACTTAATGTGTCTGTTGCTGTGTAAGCTTCAATAAACAAGAAACGTTTTATTGTTTTTTATTGATCTTGTTAATTAAGTGTGCACATAGCATCGTGGGCACCAATAGGTATTCCACCTATTGGTCTTAAGTTAATAATAGAAATTGAAGCTAAAATTAAGTAAATAAGGAATTTCCTCTTCCTGAACCTGAAAGCAGTCTTTTATAAGCAAGAAAAGACTGCTTCTTGACCGACCGAATTTCCAGTAAGGTCTGTGTTTACTACGGACTTGATGCCTTCAACTCGTGCTTCGGATACCCCCTGAGTGTCTCCCTCGTCCACTTCCCCGACAGCCTATGGGTCTGCTCTCCATCATGGAAGAGGAGTCTATGTTCCCCAAGGCCACCGATCAGACTTTCCTCGAGAAGCTGAAGACCAACCACCTGGGCAAGTCTCCCAACTTCATCAAGCCCAAGCCGCCTAAGCCCAACCAGACCGAGGCTCACTTCGCCATCGTCCACTACGCCGGAACCGTACGTACTCTCCACTAGAACGGTGTGCATTCAATCCCCTTTCCTCTGTTTCACATTTCGACCACTAAGCCGCTCCAATCTTTCATGTCCACTTGATAGGCGGTAATTCTCCGTTTCCCGCCTTCACATCTTTTCCGCGGGGTGTCGTCGCCTCGTCTGGAGTTGAGAGTAGAATGTACCTCAACAAACAACTCAGCAATAAACTTCTTTTTTTTTTTTTTTGTAGCGGACGCCATGCTGAGCTTTGACGTAGCTGAGGTGGGAAAAGAAAGCAAATCATTTCATTTGCCGATTGGAAGAAACTAGAGTTCAAGAAGTTCGTGCCACTTGTTATACTTTCTTTACTATAGTTTTCTTTTTAGTCTAGTTATGCTTAGGCTATTTATTCCCTTTAGTTTTTTGCCACCCAACTCAACTACGTCATATTTTATTGTGGCAACCGTCACACAAAAACAATGTATACTGGCCTGGTACTAATTCAATGCATGGCCGGCCGGTCCTGAACAGGTTCTTGCATACAGAACTGCATCCAACACGCCCTCGCTCATGTCGGTAAAATATTGTTCAGCTACGTACTAAGTGCAGGACAGCGTAGGTATAAAGGCAACAGGCACATGAAAAGAAAACGGTGAAGCCGCGAAAGGTGGACATCAAATAATTTTTATTATTACTAAGTCCTCGTAGTTTTCACGGAATTTTAAAGGAAAATCCGACACCGGAATGCCTTCCGCGAGCTGCTGCCAAAAGGTCTTTGCCTGTCTTACTATTAACACAGTTTGCAGTTCTTATGATTCACCTATTTCAGTCATTGGCAGCTTAAGAATTGCAGGGCTTAATGAGTTCCGTGCATATATTTTCGTTCCGTAGTTCTCAACCAATAAGATTGCAGCATTGTCCAATAAGAACGCCGAAAAACGAATCAAGAAACCAAGAAGCATAGTCATAATAGGTCACACCCTCCGTTCCTTCAGTTGTCATTGACTGCACGTCCGACCAACACGAGCTCGCCAAACGCCTTGGTAATCTCTGCAGAAGGTAGACGATGAGGTGCGATGAGTCGATGTCCGTCGAGGAATAGTGGTCCAGACCCCGTGACGTTATCTGACCGACAGTCATGTTACCGCTTGACGCGGGGAAAGGCTCGTGCTAACAGCGCGGCGGCGCGTTTCCTTCCTCCAGGTGCCCTACAACCTCACCGGCTGGCTGGAGAAGAACAAGGACCCCCTGAACGACTGCGTCGTTGACCAGTTCAAGAAGGGCTCCAACATGTTGCTGCAGGCCATCTTCGAAGACCATCCCGGTCTCGGTGGCGGCGACGACAAGGGCGGCAAAGGTGCGCGGAGGGATGAGGGCTCTCAAGGCAACAGCCTGTAAACGGCGACGGTTCCAAAGGCAGTGGTTACTCCGCTACTCCAGGATGCGCTGGATGCCTTCTGCCAGTTTTTGGCTGCGCATGCGACGAAGTGTCATCGAAGGCAGAAAGTTCGCGCTCGAGGCAAAAAATTACCTGGATTCTCACCTGTCACCGTTTAAAGCATACGTCAGCTGTACCAAGCCAGAGGGACCCCCTCTTCTTATTTGGGGCCTCCTAGAAACAGAAGACTTCTGACCTTATTTCTTTTCTGCCAGGAGTGTGGAAGAGGGGCTTAGAATTAACTTTCTACAAACGGCTATTTCAAGCAGAGCAACTGTCAAAAAATGAGGCCGTACTCTCAGCAGATCACATTTGGATTTGAAGTGGTTAACTGTGAGGTGGGCGACAGTCACGGAAAATGTAGGGGAAGATTCGGACCTGAGTCTTGGAGGCTGTAAAGTCGCCGCATTACAAATATATGAGTGTGCAGAATAAAGTAGGACGTACCTGACGGGTGAGCAGTGTCCGTGGTATAAATGGTTTATGGCTGCTGGAACAAGCACGACGTCCCGCCTGGCGGTGGTTGCGACACGTTTTCGCGTTGGGGACAAAGTTTGTGCCATCTAAATTTAAAATCAAATTATCAAACGCGTCTGTAATAATGAATTCTAATTTGAGACTGCAACAACGAGCTTAAACTGAAGGATGTGTTGTCAGTGTTCTTTAAAGAAACACACAATGGCGTGCTTATGCCACTTAACTGGCTTCTATAAGCACGATTTGCATTCAGTTACGAATAATCACAATTCCAACATCGTAATGTTTTTTTTTTTTATGTAAAATCGTTTTATTTCTTTTTTTAGGTGGCCGCAAGAAGGGTTCTGGTTTCCAGACGGTGTCTGGCCTGTACAGGGTAAGTATTTATTGCCTTCAAATATTTTCACACCCATAAAGCCAGCTACAATTTGTTGACTTACAGAAGTAGGCTTAGCGCGATTAGTTGAAAATAAGACACCCAGACAAACAAAAAAAAGTCAGCATCAGTTTCTTGTAAACAGTCTTACGTTATCAAGTAACTAGTGTGTGTGATTTGAGAATGTGGGAGGAAACGTTTAGTAAGCAGTAAGCGTGCGTAGTAAAACCACCTAAAGCAAATCAATTTGCAATTAATAAAATTTTACGATTTTGTATAATAATTGTGGCAGTGGTCGAGCCTGACCAGGAGAGGGCAAAACGACGAATTATTTTCTAGCATCACACGGCATTCATACTTATTAAAATCATTTTATTCGTATGCACGTTTTTCCTATACGTCAATATTCATAAAGTTCCATTCACGTGAGAACGCGAACTTAAGTGATTTACACAAAATTGCGTTTTATCTGCACAAGCATGTAGTCATTCAAAATATTCATTTGTTTTTGCATTCTTGTGATTTCTTTGTTGTATATCTCTTGTTTGTTGTTTTTTTGTATTTTTTGTTTTGCTTGTGCGTCTTGGTGGTATGTGCAAAGACAGATTTCATTCAAGTTACACGAACAAGTCTTCGCAAGGCCGAAAAAATACATCAGAGAACTTCAGTGATTTAAGCAGGGCGCAAAAGCATGTCACTATTGTTGCTGGCCTTAACATTTTGAAAAGTGCCCAGCTGAAGCGTTTCTATGTGTGCTCTATATAAAGTTGTTTTTGAGAATATTTTGCAGGTTCGACGAGTGTTGCACTCCACAATACTTTTGCCATTTTAAAGTTACAACTTTTTTAATTATTTTTTTGTAATCTAATCACCATTTAATTTTTGCTAACGATTTTAATGAGTAGGGCTATTTGAACCCTGATGGCTGCTATTGGCTAAAAGTTGTGATAATGGCAAAGGTATGGAAAACGTGCGGCTGCTCCACCTAAAGGCCCTCCTGATTTCAAAGCCTGCGGAAGTCTCCTGCATGATGACGTTTCCGGCCCGCCACCTTCTATCTGTGGAATGCTGACAACCCTGTGCTCGCTCCTTCCCTCGTAGGAACAACTGAACAAGCTCATGACCACCCTGAGATCCACCCAACCCCACTTTGTGCGATGCATCATCCCCAACGAAACCAAATCCGCAGGTACCCACCCATGCCTCCCCTTCCTTCCTGCCTCGTATAAACCATTTCGAAGTGCAACTTCTCTCAAAAGTTGTAATTTCTTTTATGAACGCCGTGTTAAGATTCCGTAAAAATTGCATCAGCTTTTTTTTAATATATATATAATAAACATTGAATATGTTCTGGACACTAGGCGTGACTTAGCAGATTCCGCAAAAGCCGCATTACGTTAGGACACTTATCTATATTATCTTATAATGTTTACATCCTTCACATTACCGGTGCTATATTAAATAAACGCCCTGTCAGGACACTTGAGTTTGTACTTGAGCGCCGCCTATCTAATTTTCGTTAGTGTTTCTGAACGTAGCGAAACTTATCAAAGCAGATTAGCCCCTTCAAATAATTTGTTTTTATTTATGAAAATCAAGTTGTCTGAAGATCAGAAACAAGGTTTTCACTATGTCACATTACGATACAATTCTATGAACACACTGTTGCGTTAATGAATCTGCTTTGAATAACTTGAGGGGTTATTAGGAAATATTGACGTATCAGAAAGGTGCAATTGCCCCGACATAACTGAGTAAAATCGTACTTTAAGAAATAAAAAAAGGATTTATTCACGAGATCTTGAAAATACTTGAAATAACGTTCAGTTGATAACAAATAGCCCATTGCGGACATATTGTTTTTATTTTAGCTACAAATAGAACATAACCGTCCCAATCTACGTAACTGCTTTCGATTTAGATTTGAGGTCTTAAATCACTCGTAAGTAGGACTGTTCCTCGAGCTTGACAACAATAATGGTAAACGCACGACACCTGCTGTGCCATTCAGGCATTTTTTTTTCGTTCTTTCTTCCATGGAAATTCTCATGGTACCCTCTATTCTTACTTTTATGGAACCTTCCGTAATTCCTTCCATTATTCCTTCCTTGGACTTTTCCCTGGTTTCTTTCATCCTTCCGATCTCATCTTGTACTCTACCTTCTCTCACCTCTCTTCCATGTGACCTAGTACAACCCTGCTCCCAACCTGAGTCTTGGGTGTCCCTTGGTTCTTGCACAATCTCCCCCCGTTTTCCAAAACCACTCGTGAACAATCTTGACTTGCCTCAAAAGAACCTCTTTCTTGCGTGTCTCCTCAAAGATCCTTCGAATTCCCCATAGTAGTCCGTAGAGTACCCTACAGTAGTTATAATACATCCTCAGTACTCCTCAGTACTCCCCACTGATGACTGGAACACTGCTCACCCATCAACCTCCAACTGTTCCCGTGGCCTTCGACGAACACTGCAATTGAAATCCAAAACAGCTTTAATTGGAGCTGCTTGAATAATACGTGCGTTGCTGCCGTGCTTCGTTTGGCTGCACAAAGCTAACGGTAATGTAGTTAGGCGATCGTTATAATTTAAATGGCTTCGGTCGTGCTTTGCTATAGCTGGATTTGCGGCTTTTGGTTGATTGGCTATTTTGTCTGCTTTTCTACAGTATCATTCCGTTTATGTGTACACACAGCCATAGCTGAGTTGATAAGTAAAGCATCTAGATCGTGCTTTTACACTTCCTGCTCTTGCATGATGTCAGTAGGCACTTTTATATACTCTATTTTTACTATAACAGTAGAAGGGACATGCTTGTAGGCAACAAGCAAAAATACTTGTTATTTTAAGTACAACGGACCGTGCTTGCCTTAGCATCTCGCGATTCTTAATACATAAAAGATCCTCATTCAATGTATTACAACAAGTGCTTTACTTTCAGTTTGATAAGCCAATTGATGGTTCGCATGATTCTAGCTTGAGATTGGTTCTAACATACGCAAAGAAAAAGTATTTTGAGCATAGCTTAAAGGAGCCGCCGTTGCTTCCTCTTGCCTGGAGTGACGCTAACACGGCTCGCTCTTCTGCTTTCGCAACAAGGAACAACTGAACAAGCTGATGGCCACACTGCACAGCACGCACCCGCACTTCGTGCGCTGCATCATTCCCAACGAGTTCAAGCAGCCACGTAAGACACAACACCGCACGAAGTCAGTTTTATACCCCTGCCACCCACACCACTTCCGACAACACCACCCGTGCCCACGTCACGCCACCTACGGCACCTGAACCAAAAATTACCTTGTTTACACCACCTGCTACTGATTCTCCCGGACCTAAATCACCCATGCCCAGTTCATTCGGAACTCCAAAATCATGAACCCCATGTAGACGTAGAAGATCCCTATTTGAACGTTTGACTAGCCTCAAACAACCGCTCCAACAGGACAGACTATCGATAGTGATCATCACAGAGGTAATTAATTTCAGAAGCCGTTCAAACACCACAGTTCTTTGGGGTTCAGAAATGACAAATTCTATCTCTGTCCGTACTTGCAAGCCTGGGCGAAACCTTACAGTGGAATCTGTCTTAATGGAAGACTGTTGGCGCAATTTCGATCTGCCCAATCTGTGGACCTGTGCTTGTCCCTGAGATATTCCATTAGGGAGGTTTCACTGTCGTCAGTCCAACTCCTGGTGGCACCCTAGAGTCCCCGAAAGGTCTACCCGATTTACTGTCCACAAATATCCCAACGCCTAAGTTTATCCCGAAAGATATGAATCGTCACGCACGAGCCCTTCCACACAACCAAGTTGCCACTCAAAACCTCCACACCCTCCCATCTCAGAAACTTTGTGATGGAGGACTGTCCCACCACCATGCACTATACCACCAGGTGCACACATCACCTTTTTCTTGCCACGGTTAACACCTTTGCCCCACCCACTCATGACGCCCACAGGAACAGTTGAACAAGCTGATGGCAACCCTCAATAGCACTGCCCCCCACTTTGTCCGCTGTATCATTCCGAACGAAACCAAGTCCCCAGGTAAATATACACCCTCAAATGTTGTCCCACTTGATATGTGTTTTGTGCTTCGTCCACGTCGTTGGGAGACAGGCAACGCGGAAACCGCTGAATTTTTTTTCTTTGAACCGGAATCCTTACAGTGTAGCAATGGCTGTTTCGCGCCAATTTTGCAACAGGTGGAGGAAGAAAAAACACCGAGGTTTACTTCGGTTGCTTACATTCTCATGAAGAAGTCTAGTCGTGACTATAAAAAATGGTTTAACTTGGTTTTTAGAGTAACTTCTGAATTATTGTTTTTATGTTAGGGTTAAAGAGCATACCTATTGTCAACTCGTGAGAAACCATTTTAACTAACAACACTTTTTATGTATATTTCAACGTAGACGAACAAACGCGTTAATTGACCAAGACAAAACTTCGTTTGCCTTCTAGTGCGGCGGTATTGATTTCACAATGCAAGGTTTAGCATATTAGGGAACGTAAGCTTGTGTGTTAGGAAATCCCAGAAACTCACAGCCCATTTTCCCGGAGAGTGGTTGATTAATATTTTGTTTTTTCTTTACGCGAAAAAGGCTTGCCCGAGATAGGTTTTGTTAATAGTTCAAATGTGTCTTTCATAAAGAACGCCTTTGAAATCTTACTCCAACTCGACTGCCTTTTCTTTATGTCTTGCAACTAATTCAACGTTCTTATGCAACCAGTATGTCTAAAGGCGAGTCATGAAAACAATAGCGTTAAGCAAGCATTAACAAGCCTCATTTCTACTTTTATCTTCCACTAATTCGAATGTCCCGAAGAAGCGTTTTTCAAATACTGTCCGCCACCATGGTCGCTAAGTTGTCGTCATTGAGCGTTACGAATTATTCCAGATAAAACATTTGTGTCGAGTACGATACCTCACCGGTTCAAAAGATATCACTATCTCCAAGACAATATATATAAACGTCCACGCGATTGTGTAATAAAAATATACTTTTTTATATTAGGTACAGCCACGGTTAGTAAGATCACATCATAGTCCCTTTCAGAAGGACTCTTCTTTGCCTAAACGCAAGCGCAGTACACAAGTACCTTACCGGTGCTACTTCTATGGATTGCGCAATAAACGGTTTCAACACCTTCTCAATTTTACTTGGTGTTAGCTCCACCTAGACTGAACAAGTTTCAGCGAAAATTTTTAGCGGGGTGGGCTTGGATATGCTGCGCAAGTTAAGTTCAGCCCATTTGGACTCTCGCCAAAGCTTGCGAACGGCACAGGCTGAGTGCGTGCCCGCGCGCGTGCGACGGCCTTCCGCAGGTGTCATCGACTCTCACCTGGTGATGCACCAGCTGACTTGCAACGGTGTGCTGGAAGGCATCCGTATCTGCCGCAAGGGTTTCCCCAACAGGATGATCTACCCCGACTTTAAGCAGCGGTAAGGATGACCTCCTCGTCCCCGACCTTCATGACCTCTGGTCTCTTGCAACATATTCTTTCTATAAGAGTGTTTGTGAGCTCAATGCCCTGCAGAACACAGAAACGGCCAGTCACGAGGAACGATAGAAGGATACCAGTGAATGTCAGTGCTTAACGTATGACCAGATCTGAGCAATGCGGTGTGCTCAGAGACGACGAGCAAGTAAAACGTGATGGTCATTGTCCCTACGCAAACCGCATTATTTTGACTTATCATATTCTCACCTTCTCCATTTGCTAAGATTTTTCTATCGTTCGCCCTGATTGGCTGCTTTTGTGTAGTCCAGGAATGTGAACTCACAAACGTTTCTTTTTTTAGCGTAAAACCCCTTTCAAACGGGCACAGTAAAGGCCTTCAGAATGAACTCCTTTAAAAAAAACAGCGAATCGGCTCGCCATCATGTGCTTATCGGCGTACGCTGGTTCGCGTACTGTTTTAAAGCAGTTTGTTCTGAAGGCCTTCAACATGGTCGCCTGACAGGGGTGTGAGAACTGGTGAAGACGCTCCGGGCCAGGATGAATGACGTTACTACACCGCCCACTAAGAACGCACCGAATTTTTGACTCTACGGAAAAGAAGGAGCATCCGTTAGACACCGCTTTAAAGATTGGCAATCGGAGAAACAAAGTGCGGCCTAATTTCTAATGCGTCATTTGGTAACTGAGCGGAGTACTCGTTTGTGGGCAGAGTTTCTCACTCATAAACCACGTTCCAGCAGAATATAGAGTTTAAAAAAATGCGTCAAGATCTCAGCGTTCTCATGATACAAACTCTAGTCCCTGATTGGCTATAAACGGCAGGTATACGTCTTTAAGTTGTCACACTTCTAGCGCAAATTGTCTTGTTTTGACAACAGTTGGGCGTATTGTGGGATTTGAGTGCGGACGCTCAATTAAACACGATGGAAGACAACAACTGCTTGCTTGTGCCGGACACCCGAAAGAGATGCCCTACTCTTTTCATCCTGTCAATGACTAGAGCGCCTAAGTGCCTAGAATCGATGTTTCCTTCAAAATTGTCTGGATTACTTGGTTTCGTCTTTTTCACCTGATATTGAAAAAGTGGTAAATAGACTGTGTTATCCATATTAATTGAAACCTGCCTGTGTGAAAACCAATAAATTATCTTATAACATTAGAAAGGTTTGGACGTAGCGCCAGTTCGTACGTTAGTATCGTACTCGACGAAGCCGTTAGTTAATTGTGCACAATCCTATTGGCGGTTTTGTGATGTTCATCTTGAATGTTGAGCCGGAGATTTGAATACAATAACTTCACTTCTCATCAATTGATAAACTGTTTGTGCCATTACCTTTTATATGTTCGTAATCTTTAATTATCAAATATAATTTGTGTCGCCTTTTCGAGATTTTTGAGAATGACAAATGCGCAGATATGTATCCTTCCTCATTAAATTAAAGTACAACCGGCCGGTATATTTTCCGGTGGTTTCCTCACTTCATTTGGGACGGTTACCTAACTGCGCATCCGAGTTGTGATCTTTTTTTAATTAGAAACATTAGCGGTGAAAATATTTCAACCGTTTTTTATGCAAAAAAAGGGGCTTGCCATTCAACCATCACTGTTTTCACCACCATGTGTTTGTCGAAAAATTTGTCACAAAAGGCTTAGTGTTGGAATGATTGATTGCCCTTGGTGTCACGGTTGTTAACGTATATCAAATGAAAGTATGGTTTATTACTACATGTCGCGTACAGTGCATCTTATCATATCATTCACCAGTAATCTTGTACGGTTATTAACGCTGGATTTTTCGTGTAACATTTGATGTCTTCACGCTTGTTTTTTGCGCGTACTAGAGCGCTTTTATGCTCTGTCTGCTTTGAACTTTGCGTTCTGAGCGAGAGGCACGCTGCTGCTCGTTACGACGCATTTTGTTTTGTTTTTATGGCCTTTTTTTTTTGTTTTTGACGTTTTTATTGCTGGCTCGCGGCTCACAATCATAAACACACGAGCGTGCAATGTTCTCTTTGTGTGAAAAAACACCCACTGATTGAAGTTTGCAAATGGAACATAAGATGTAATTAACATATTGGTCAAAACTGGTTCGGACCCTTATATAGCGGGGACGTAGGACTATATAAATTGCATGCTTGGTGAAAGAAAGCCATTTCGTTAAGCATGTTCAGGTCTAACTGAAATTTAAGGTGAACTTTTTTTTCTTTTCTTAAACTAAGTTCGCTTATTTGGAAACAAACTTTATACCTACTGATTTAAACAAACAAGTACATTAAAAAAAGCCCTTCTGATTCTGCAGTCACTTTCAAATGGTGAAGTGGTAATTGAAACCTAGCCGCGATCGGGTATTCGGGCTTCCTCCCGCAAAAACGGAGTTACCTCATTAAGAATGTTTAAGGGGAAATAATATAAAATTGTATTTGCAAGCATTTATATCCACTTGGTTTGTTTAAACTTAAGAACCGGGAAACAGTGTTAAAGGTGGCATGTTTGATCACCTGAAAGATACCTTGGTTATTTACGAATATAGTTGTCGGAGTTAGTCGTCAGATTCTTTACAAGGGACAACATAACGTTACATTGAGACATACGTCAAGTTCACGGTTCAAGCAGGAAGACACCACCAAGTTGAACACATTAACGCAAACAATATTTGAACGTTGTCACCCCCTCTTCCCCTAGATACACAATCTTGGCGCCCAACGCTGTCCCCAAGGGTTTCGTTGATGCGAAACACGTCGGTGAAAAGGTCATCGAGGCCATTCAGCTCGATGCCAACGACTTTCGCTTCGGACACAGCAAGGCACGTACCTGGAAACAGAGGACGCCCCAGAAGGCCCCAAAACCCCTGGATGCACGCTCTCTAAACCCCTGGTCCCTCAGACGGCCTCCCCTTATTGAAACACCGTCCCGCAACAGCACCCAAAAGCTTTTGTTGGCAAGCAATGATTCGCTACGGCCTACCGACGTCATGGCATTTCATTTACTTATTCTTCTAAACTACTAGGTCTTTCGGTGTAGGATACAACCAATGTCGAGCCTTTGCCACATCTGACGAACACTGAGTTAACTCTAGATACAAGACAAAAGCACCGTATAAACTAGATGTCCTCTCTTCCGCTACACCAAGTTCTGAAAAATGAATGGTCGTGATAAATAACATTAGTGGTTTGAAACAAGCTGTACATTTTATTCCTTAAGGCAAAGTTAATGTGTTGTTTCCATGGTGAGATTAGGCTGTAATAAAACTCAGCATATTGTCTGAAATTCGCTTTGAGAAACATGAAACATAATTAGGATTAGTAGGTGACCCTTATGAGCCATCCCTTTCACTCAAGATTTGTGGTGGTTTAAATCATTATTAATACATTCTCGCCAGTTTCTCCGCCAAACCTAAAGCTTTTGGGCTATAGCTGAAGTTATGTTAAAATGGACGACTGTTTTTCAATAAGGTAGTGGTTGCCGCGAATTCTATTGTGCATTTATTTGAGTCAAGAGCTCAAGCTCAACCTTGTGTCAAACGTATCTGTGTATGACCTTGATATTTATTGAGTAAGAACGTTCTTCAATATGGGCATGGTATTACCAACCAAAACATCATTCAGGAAAAAAAACGCCTTCATTACTTCTGACTTCGCAGCTTTAGTACTGTAAATCTATTGTTATATATAATCGATAAATCGTAGTGCTTGATGAACGCCCCTTTCCGTTCCACATCATCACTCTGGTCAGTGAAGTAAGTAACTAAAGTTTTCTCAAATGAACTTCACATTCAACTCTTTATACAATTCATATATGATAGCTTCAGTTGTAGCACGATATCTCTGTATAATGTTACAGACCCATCAAGTCCAAAGTGTTCATCTTAAAACCCTCGTTGAAGACGTCTCCTAAATGCACAATAGAACCTCAGTTTCGCTTAGCATGGTCCTAGTCCTGGTTGTGTCCGAATACAAGCCCTCTACTTCTTCCTCCTCATCAAAACACTGCGACCAAAATCAAAACTCCCAAAGCCTCTCCGAACCACGAACCACCCCTGAACCACGCAGCCCTCACCCAGTATAGCGAGACACATGCACGCCCACCGACAGTCATGGGAGCACAGGAGGGTGGTAAGTCCTCAATTTCTCTGACATCGGCTACGAAGTTTTGCCACCCTGTCTCTTATAGTGCGATGGACATCACACGCACACCCACCCAACCATAAGTACCGAACACAGGTGACAAAAAAACGGGCATGCTTTGGCTTCCCATTCCCCTTTTCCTGCACTTTTTTGCACCTTTTTTTAGCCTCTCCTTTTGGCATGACTACTTCCTTGCACTGAAGCAGCTTTTTCTTCTTTTTTTTTTGTTCTTGTTATTATTGCGCTCTTATTTTGAATAAGTTTTATTTTTTCCCTGGAGCCAATTTTTTACCATTTTTCTTAGCTGAAAATTTAGGTCTGGCTCAGTTAGACGCCAATATTACGCCCGAAAACCTCGACTAATTCTGGCGTTGACCACGAATAAGCAGATCGTTTATATAGGACAGTGTGGAACCATTATGTCATTGAATACCATCAGTAGCTCTGTTAGGTGCAATTAAATCGTAATACATCCGAAACGTAGTGAGTATGCAAAGTAACAAATATTGAGGAGCCCCTTGACCCGATAAAAATAATAGTTTACCGCTGAACCCATAACGTTCATCATTCCGTGCCCAACCCTAATCCCCTTATCAAATGTTTACGTATCTTAATCGGGCTGGCCCTGGTTCCGGACTTCTCAGATACCATATCCTCTCCTGTGGCGAGCTTCCAAAGACCTTCATCGAAGCGAAACAAGCCTCTGAGATAATCATGAAGGCGACCAAAATAGACGAAATCGAATACCGCTTTGGACACCATAAGGTACGCCTGGTACCTCGATTCCCTTAACAACAGTAGCACTAGAGGTCGTAGTTTCCTGTAGCAGACTCCCAGGCTCCCTTCCTCCAAATGGTGTGTCCTTGCATTTGGCTACTCTCCTAACCTGTTTTCAAGAAACGATGACCTTTGTTTGCCCTTTCACTTTTACCTTCACAAGAATGAAACCCAATGTGACTATTGTGCGCATTGTCAAAGACGCCATCATAACCCGAAAATTCTCATTTTGCGGCTCTTGAAAATGACCAAATTAGCAAAGATACGATTGTGACATACGTGTCATGGAAGCCGATTTTAATTGTGCACTTAATTATTTACACAGTACGTAACGGAAGCGTACATTAAGTTCATGCCGTCGCCCGAACCTGCTGGCTCTAATACAGCTGAGCGTTATTAGGGTGACGGTCTGATAATGCAATTCAATAATCATTCAGCTCTCGCAAATTCTGCTCGGTGCATCTGTGTTCTCAATTTTTGGAATTCTAATCGTAAAGGTGACGATAAAATAGTTTCACAAGACACAGTTCAAATCATATCAAATAGCATGTGCGTCTAATGTTACCGCGGAAAGAACCTACGAACTACACAAAGCAATAATTCAGAGTCAACCGTAACCTAATCAGATGTTAGCCTTCCTTATAATGACTGCGCCACTTCGCCACCTTATAACTGCGCCACTTTGACGCAGTTCAGTCATGAATTGCTTCGAGGTAACTGCAGAAGTAGTTAAATGCAATGCCTTTACGGTTAGGGCGCCTGCATTTTTGCACGTAGCTCACGCCAGTTGAGCTCCACTACTTCCGAAGTGCTCACCACTGCTCCCTCTCGCCTGCTGCTTTCGTTACGAAAACCTTACACGTTAACCCTGACACCAGTTCGGGTAGAGCTAACCTAATATCGAACCCGAACCAATACCCCGCAACCTAACTGACAACTCCTAGATAACCAGACCACAGTGCTAGATTTTCGACGTCACCTAACGAAGGTCAACGCGGAGACACAGTTTGGGCACGAGTGCTGCATCACGGTTCAGTGAAGATTCCTTTCCTCGCTGAATGAAAAAGAGTCCCAGCCGTTCGCTGACGCACCGCTCGTGTCTATACTCTGTGCCAAGCGCTGGCCTCCAACAGGTGACGTAGGAACTCCAGCGATACGGCCTTGCTATCTGCGAGGTGTTGGCCTAGCCCCGATCATCGAAGGGTTCGCCGGAGGTGCATCCAACGGCAGGCCTTCAATTCGCTTGTACTCCTGGTTCCCTCCTTCCCGTAGATATACCATCCTTGCCCCTAACGCGCTACCTAAGGGATTCGTGGACGCTCGGGCTGCCACAGAGAAGCTTCTCGAAGCCACCAAACTGGACACGAGCGAGTTCCAACTGGGCCTCACTAAGGTATGTGCTGGACCGACGTCGTTGGTTCTCTCCTTCTAGCCACGCGGAACTGTCACTTCAAACGCGATGGTGGAACGGCATCGTTTTTTTTTTTTTTCCTTTTATAGACAATTGACTTGATTTTGACAAACATCTTGACGCAGAACAAGCCGTGTCAAAAATTTAGTCAACCACTCTGTCAAAGAGTCTGCATGGAAAGAGGCACGAACGATAATTATTAAAATACAATTAATATTATATTCATTATAGATGCACATTGAAAAAAAAACACAGAAAAATACATTTCCAATGTTGGCTTAATGTGGTGGAGACTTAGCCAAGGTATAAAATCTCACGATGCATCAAGCGACTATAAGAATTTCTCGGAGCGACAAAAGATGGCTGCGGCCCATTGGTGGTCTTCTCATTTGCATAGGCTTTGAGGAAAAAAATATACTGCAACAAGAAGTAACATGCAAATGATGGGCCTCGCTTGACTCTTTTGAGAGTCAACGTCGCTATGAAGGTGTAACTAGCTCCTATAGGAATTCTCAAATCTATGTCACGGGGTTATTATAGCAGTCTTATTTAATGCTCGCTAGCAGAAATATATACAACCGATATCATTAAAAGAGAAAACCCTTTAAACAAAAGAGGGTAGACCAAAGTCCGTTAATTATTAAGTAGGCAGCGACGACTCAACATTCTTCAGAAGGAGGTAAAGTGGTGAAGATAATGTCAGGCCAGCCTCTCCCAATAATGGGTCAACTTCTTGGCATGCGGGTTTTTAAACCTGGAGAAATTATGGCGGTTCACTTTTGCGATGTACGTAGAGGGACAACTTTCTGCACGTACTGAAACAAACAAAGAAAGTGGAGCTAAAACACCACTTCTGTGCCCGTCAACAAAAAGAACTAAGCCATCGCAGTTTTTTTTTTTTTTTTGTCAAAAGTGGCAGCAGCTATTACTGTTCAAACCTTTTGATGGCACGCCACTGACTCACTATGTTTCTAAGCCCATCATTGACTCAATATACCTTACGAAATTGTTCTTCAAATATCCTCATTACAATAGCGTTTTTGTAACCACTATACTCACGTCCGATCCAATAACGTAAGTACTTCTGCGTGCTTCGTGCGACAAGTGCCATCGTTTTGCAGGTAAGAATACCCTCTCTGTACAGCATGAAGTTCATCCCCCCTGCTCGTTAGCTCTAGTATCCCACTAGACCTTTCTTGTAAAATCTCAGTTCTCTTACGTGTGCTCATATATATCTTTGTTGTTTTACTAAAACCGTGATTTATTTAAGCTATCGTAAAGTCTTAAGAAACCTAGTTTAAGAAAGCCTTGATGTAAGAAGGTTCATACATGGGCAGGAGTTGCCTTCATTGTGCTTAACCAGTCAGAGTGAAATGTGAAGCGTAATATGTAATCTTAAAGTGACCAGTCGAAAGGAGACTATGAACAAGTTATTTTGAACGTCAACGAATATCTCGATTCACCGGTTAATAAATTATATTTAGCTCTGAGCAAACGTTTAGCTTCTAAACAAAATGGCTCGCCATTCTGATAAGGACAGTCGCCAAAGCAAATCGAGATTACTTAACCAATTAACTGCTAAGCTCTTGAAAATGTTTATTTCCGCCTGCCAAAAGTGACAGAAATAGCTGTTTTTGCCTTGAGAACGGCTCGCATGACTCACGTGCTGTGGCGCAGATCTTCTTCCGCGCCGGTGTCCTGGGTCGCCTGGAGGAGATGCGCGACGAGCGGCTGAGCAAGATCATGACCATGATCCAGGCTGCCGTTCGCTGGTATATCTGCAAGAAGCACTTCCAGAAGCTCAAGGAACAGAGGTGCGCTTCGCGAAATCATTATCCACGCGACGTCCTAACGCTTTATCGGAAACGTAAACACCACGAGCGCAACCATGTTCAGCAGCACCATCTGCTGATTAGGCTTGTAAGCAGACAACTCTGGTTGTCAGCCAGATGACGCTTCCATACTTCGTTTCATCTTAAGTTAAGACGCAGCCGACGCTACGAGCTGATGAGATCAATCAAACAGCGTCAAGAGGGCCCCATTGTGATGTTCGTCATGTGTTTGTACGTGTTATATCATCGCTGAACCAATCATAAACAGAAAAGACCAAGTGACTCGCACTTTTGACGCCACTTCATTGGTCCCATTAGCTCGTAGCGTCGGCAACGCCTGGCGCGTTCCGTGCATCTCATTATCGGTCCGCGGCCAATCAGATACTAGCATTTGCCGCTACGAACGCCAACGAACCAATCACAAGGCGAGGGGTGGGAACATAACAAGCCACAATTTGCAGTCCTAAAGCAATCAGTGACCATGCGGAAAGCAAGTCGTCTGCCTTTTGAGCAGGAGTTGGGGTGACGTCATAACAACGCCGAGCTCTGATTGGCTCTCATTGAAAGGATAGTTGGTAGACCTCAATGCTAGACGCCTCGAGGTCTACCCGCTATATTTTTTTTTTAATCAGCCAATAAGTGCTATGCGTTCTGACATCATGGCAAGCCAACGTGCAAGAAGCAGACGAGCTTGCGCTTCGCATATAGTCAAACCTAAAGCTGAGCTTATCTGAAATTTGAAAACGTACTATTGTGTACGTTTTCGCATTTCAGATGATTATAGAGTCGTTGCGTGTAAACTACCATTCACAGCAAGCCCCAGCTATCTCATTAATATTGTCCAGTCGATCAGATTATCCCGCGGCCTGGTTAAATCAATCACCGAACGCAGTGCGTCGCGCTAACAGCCACTCCCTGGTACCCCTTGGTGCCTGTATGTACGTAGCGACTGTAATTAAATGGATGCAAACTTATATCTTGAGATTCTAAAAACAACCTGAAAACGCGCAAAAAGTAATACACCCCATGCAACTTAAACGAAAAGTGTATTACATTGGGGAAAAAAAAAGAACCGTACCCAATGGTATCTTAGAAGAAACATAAGCAATAAAAGTAAGAGAGGGTTATACCTGCATCAACGTTCTAGGTTGCACTATTCATAGCCACACGACGGGCCGCCGTCGCCAAATGGGTGTCCTCGCTGATGATTATTAATATTTGGAGGAAGCATACGGTCGCAAGCTAAATGCGGGGTCTACTCTGAGCCTCCGCTTGAGCATACCCGACATGCAGACGCAAAATGGGAAGCGGAGGGGGAGAGTCGGAGCCGGTTCCCTCCAATGGGAGGGCCAGAAATTTTGAGACCCGCTGATATCACTTCTTGGGCGCTTAGCACAAGCCCTTCATAGCTGGTAAGGTGCGTCGCCGGTGTTGGACGAGAGTTGGAGGGCCTCGGATACTTGCGCTGCGAACATGTAAGAGTCACGTTTGAGTTCTTGCGTCTCAGTTAATTGGATCCGCCCCTTTCACCCCGTATGACTCCACCCGTCGTTCGATGTTGTTAAGCACGTTCAGGCATACTTTATAATATATTCTCGGCAAATGAACAACATTACTACATAAAGTTCATCTCTGCGTGATTGGTACCGGACTTTTTTTTTTAATGCGAGGAGCCATGATCTCGTCGGCCGTCCAGTGATGAGGAGATGCCCGGAACTGGTCACGCCCTGTTGTTCATAAGCTGTCATATTTCGTTCAGTACGTTCCTAACACTAAGTGTGCTCCCAAGTATCAAGTTTCATCTCCGAATCAATCAATATACCCATTCTTTTACGCACTTTCTTCCGATGTACATAACTTTTGTATGCAGTGGCTCATCATATTCGTTTTGTTGCTTTTTGTGACTTGCTGATTAGTTAACCAAGCAACGAACAAAGCTAACTAGCGTCATACGTGCGTTGAAGTCTCCGTAGCGCCCAAAGTCACGCTGTTAGAGTGCGTGAACGCGCGCCGCCTTTGCTTCACTGCCTGTCGTACCCGTGTTCGTAGCTTTCGACGCTTTCAGTTGTGTGATGAAAGGATTATCAAAATTAAAGCAAAGAAGGTGTTCATGCTCTTGAAATTTCGCTGAAAGGGACATAACGTCGTACTTTATTCACGCGCACACGAGGCATACGTTATTTGAAGTTCAGGCGCAGTAACATACATTTCAATACATTGTCTCCATCTCCTGCAGAGTTGCTCTGCTGGTCATCCAGCGCAACCTCCGCAAGTTCCTCCAGCTCCGCAACTGGCTCTGGTGGAAGCTGTACAGCAAGGTGGGGTTTAGTTTAATTAATTATAAATTTCAATTCCACTATTCAAAATGACAGTGCTCTTCAGTGGAATCTTAACAAACAATTTAGCGCACGAATGATTCGGCTGCTGTCGATGAGGCGTGACAACTATAAACCGTGCAGGCCCTCTTGAAGAGTTCGTTGCAATGTTGCTGTGTCTCACTAACCAAAGTTCGGACAGTCGACTAAATACCGATTTCCCACAAGCTAGTTAAGAAGACTACTGTCTGTAATGTAATCTCAACCTTTTCCTTCACTCCAAGAAAAAGATATTATCCGGCTAATGTTGAAAATACATTATGTCTTGCAGAATTTGTTAAGCAGCAACCGAAATTTTCACGCACTAGACTCTAGATAAAATCTAATTCGCAGCGGAAACCATATCTGGCAACTAGATATATATTTATCCATTTGCTGCTTTTAGTAAATGATCTGGAACCACTACTCTTCCAAAAAGCGCGAGGTTTCCCCACGGCTACAGGAGAAATATCGAAATACGTACTTTTCAGATTTCTACGAAAAGAGCAATTCGCTACGTTAAACCTCTGATATTTCCATGAGAGGTCTAAAACACTCAAACCACGATGTTCCTTTCTATCTGGACATACTATAACCGTCCGATATAAAAAAAATGTGTATGCTTCTTAAGCACTCGACTTGCCTCAAAACTATTATTTTACTAGTGCCTCATTGTACAATATGCAAAAGTCGATGATTCGTGTTTATCCCAGGCGACTAAATCTCGAGGCCCGTTTATAGAGACAAAGCTTAGTTTCCTCGCTATGCAGCTTTTTCATTGGAGTGCATCCGGAATGATCTGTATACCTTAGTCGTGTCAAAATCAAGAAAACGGAGGAAGCGAAATATGTGCGTAACGCGGCTATCCTCTTCAAAACTCCAATTTGGTGGAGATGACATGACCACTAAAATTATAATTATAATGTTTATGCAGGTCAAGCCCCTGCTGTCTGCTGTGCGCGTGGAGGACGAACTGAAGCTTTTGGAAGAGAAGCTGAAGAAGACAGAAGAAGCATTGGCGAAGGAAGAGAAGCTTCGCAAGGACCTGGAAGAACACAACGTGAAGGTACTGCAGGAAAAGAACGACCTCTTCCTGCAACTGGAGGCCGAAAGGATGGGTGCCGGCGACGTGGAGGAGCGTCTCAACAAGGCGCTCACCCAGAAGGGCGACCTCGAGAGTCAGCTAGCCGACCTCAACGACCGCCTGTCGCACGAAGAAGACGCCCACGCTTCACTCAGTCAGTCCAAGAAAAAGCTCGAGACCGAAATCTCCGGTCTCAAAAAGGACATCGAGGACATGGAGCTCGCGCTCCAGAAGGCCGAGCAGGATAAGGCGACCAAGGACCACCAGATCCGTAATCTCAACGACGAGATCCAGCACCAGGACGAGCTCATCAACAAGCTGAACAAAGAAAAGAAGCACCTCCAGGAGGCCAGCCAGAAGACGTCTGAAGACCTGCAGGCCACAGAGGACAAGGTTAACCACCTGAACAAGGTAAAGGCCAAGCTGGAGCAGACCCTGGACGAGCTCGAGGACTCTCTGGAGCGCGAGAAGAAGGCCCGTGGCGACATCGAGAAGAGCAAGCGCAAGGTGGAGGGAGATCTCAAGCTTGCCCAGGAGGCCGTTGCGGACCTCGAGAAGAACAAGAAGGAGATGGAGCAGAACCTGCAGCGCAAGGAGAAGGAGATGGCCAGTCTCGCTGCCAAGCTCGAGGACGAGCAGGCCCTTGTTGCTAAGCTCCAGAAGCAGATCAAGGAACTCCAGGTGAGGATTGCCCTTTGTCTCTTACTTTCCTTAACAATTCCGCAACAATTTGTCTTATTTTAGCTCCATGTAAACTACTAATGTTCGCAACTCTTTCTGACTGCTCCAGTGGTCGTACTATGCTTAAAAAGACATCACCGTGGCCTGTTACGGATAGAAGCGAGGATGTCCGTTGCCTGCAAAAAATAAGAAAAACGAATAAATGTGGCATTGCTTGGTCTATGTTAAGCAAAGCATTAGCTTAAAGTTCTGCGCACCATAATTAATTGAAAGAAAAGGTTAATTAAATGAAAGATTTTTACTACAATAAAACGTATTACCCCCCTCTCTCTGAAAAACGGTAAGTGATTTATGAGTTACGCACATCTTTAAGAAAATCAGGACAACCAAGAGGCATCATACAACTTCTAGAAGTATAGAAATATATGAGCCCGAAGACAAGCTACCACTTAAAACCACGTTTGCTAGAAACAAAAATTTGGAACGAAAACCGATAAGTGTCAATTGTTTAAATAAAAGTTCAGACTATAAGAGAAAACACACAAGAAATTGTAGGCGCTGAAAATTGTAGGCGCTGAACAAAGGCGCCTACAATTTTAAATTCTTAACATTACTACGTCCTGGGTGATGCGAAACAGACCATGTCGCCAGTCACCGTTACCCGTCCAAGAGAATAATCCGAACAACAATCTTTCTTCGACTTAAAAGTAAGAACTCAGAAGGAGCACTACGGAGGTAAAAAATCCCACTCAGATTTTTTCGCCCAGTTTACCTTTTCGCCAGAATAAATTATTTGAGCTCCGTTTTTGCCACCGTTCATCCACACATAGAAATGACGGACGTCCAGTGTATTTCACAGGCAAGAAAAGAGGTTCTTAAGGAAGCGTTTTGCACACGACCTTTTCCAACTACGGTGAGCAGGCTACGCGCTGCTTCTCGACACTGCGCATTCGCTGTGGCGTCATCATTCCACAGCCTAGTTGTCAAAGATGGTGGCGCGCAGAGGGCAATCAGTGGAATGCTCAATGACAACGTTTTTGGCGGCAAGAATCTAGGGACTTATATGGTCCCTGGCAGTTTAAGAAGCGCAGGGCTTGGCCAGCCTTGAGCATCCTACTATCGCCTCGTAACCAATCAGATTGTGCCATCGGCCGGTAAGAACTCCGAAGAACCAATCACGATGCAAGGATCGTGAATTAACATAAAAGGGCACGCCCTGCAGGCTTTTTTTAAAGCTGTCGATGACTATAGAATCCCGAGATTTTTGCCGCCAAAAGAGTTTTTAGAGGCCATTACACAGATCGCCCTCTGCGCGCCGCCATTTTTGTCAACAGTGTTTGTGGAATGCGCTCTGAGCACGCGCACTGCCCCCTTTGAAATATCAGACTGCCCAAACGCCTCTACAGCCCAGTGACTCAGCATTTTCCGCCTCGGTGATAAATCGGTGGAAAGATCGTAGAGTGACTCGACCCTTGCTGGTGCCCGATGGGAAGCTTTAGTTGATGAAGCCATCGCTCATGTGCAGAACTCCAGACAAGCGTAGAACATTGTCTTACTTATTTTTATTTTATTGGGATAGCAGACGTCTTTTTTGCCGCTTGTCACCGCCTCGAAAGCATGAGACGGTGGAGAATGTGTTTTGTAACGCCGTTTAGTGTCGGTTGCGCCAGACAACGCTGTCTCTGGAAGCTTTTCTGTGGTGTGATTGAATGGAGGGGGGAAGCTAAAAACGGAAAGACCCGGGGGCTTTGTCCCAAGGGTTGTTCCCAAAGAAGCTATGACAAATGGTGTCGGGCGAAAAGACAAAAACAAAATCCAACAAGACGAAGTTTGGAAAGCCAAACATTGGCGTGAGGACTCTCTTCTTTCCGTCTTCTTGTTGGCTTCGTTTTTTGAACCGCACCACGCGCTTCAAACCGGAAGAAGGTCCTCCAGACGACGGAACTTGGTTCTCGGTTCTACGGTTCCGCGCGTCACATACCCGAAAGAAAAAAAGGCTTGAAAAGGGGCTAAGAATGTAAAGCGACGGACGCTCAAGTTCCCTCTTTCATTTTGAGACGACTTTTTTTTCACTTCAGTAAACAAGTCAACACCTTAGAAGGGCTTCTTGAAAATAACTAAATATGGCAGCAGCAGGTTTGCTAAAGAAAACATATCTTCACCTAGTATTCTTTTTTTGATAAATTTATTTTGTCAATTTTATCAGCGAGTCGTCGAATGCCGTTTAAGGTTTTCCTCGGAGCCCTTCCTCTTGTGACCATGTTCAATATCCTTTAACTATTTCCGTTGTTTTCACAAAAAAAGACATTGGAATACGAAGAAAGTATATACTGGGCTTCACATAAATGCCCTCCGGAAGAACTAAAAACCGAAACCTAACTAGGGCCTAAAACGAAGCTAGCCTCAAGAACAGTACAAGTACTCTTTGACTAAACAGCAAATGGTGAAAGTTTACCGGCATTACGACGACACGACATTCAAGGGCCTAGATCAATGCCTACTTCTATTCTGGCACCTATGCGTCAACCAGAACCAGTTACATGTGCGGCGCCGCTAAACGTAACCAAACTGGAAGCTGGCGACCCACGAAAAGATGACACCCACGCAGTCTCAGGCTACAGCTTCCTTTTCGAAAGACAGTCCCAGACGTTCTTTGCAGTAGCCTGTCCTTGAAAGAAAAGACTAAAGATAGTCACCATACCGACGTGCTCAGAATCGAATTCCTGGCGTTCCGGTTTCGCCCAACTGCGGACTCAGCTGATCGTACATCAAATACATTTTGACGTGCCGCACTAACCACGGGCGATACACGCCAGCCAGCAGGAATGCGTTGGAACCCATCGGAAGACCTTGCCGGGTCGATGCCGTTCGGCATGAGGCTCACGTGACCCGAAGGCCGTTGCACCAACGGTCTACCTTTCGACAGGTAGCGGGCGCCGAAGTCTGCAAGGCGTCCAGAAACGGGCTGCGGGCTTCGGCGCCGAAACGTGCAGCCCTGCGTGACTCAGGGGAGCAAGCATATTTATGGCGGTCCCGAGGTGTGCTGCCGGCCGAGGTATTTTTGGGAATAGCCCCGAACGGCGGTGGCGTGGGCGTCGCCAGATCGAATTTCGCCCGGGGCGCCTCTGAGGCTGGTTTTAAGGCAGCTCCAGCGACGCCGGGGTCTCAGTCCCGAGTCGACGTTCCTCCCGCACGGGCCTCCCACTGCCCAGTCCCTCCCGAGCCTTCCCTTCGAGACCCTCCGAAACCCATTGGATTACCATGGACGCCGACCTACAAGTGAACGGCGTGCTCAACGGCACGGCCAACGGTGTCTCCAACGGCGACTACCTGCCTTCCCGTCCGACTCCGACCGACACGAGCCGCCCGCTGGCGAGGCGCTCAGCCGGCGACGCTCTGGAGGACGACTCCTTCTACCCTCTCCAGAAGGGACCCTACATGTCCCCCAACTACCGACTCAGTGCGCAGAGCAAGAAGCTTGTGCGGCAGGCCCAGGAGCCCATCCTGTCTTCGAGTCCTGCCACGGTGCACATCATCTATGAAGTAGGCTCGAGGTCTTGCGCCTCTTTCTGAGTGGGATGCGACAGTGCGGCCGCCTCGCTTTCGCGACTAGGCTCCTCTAACCATGACGCTTGTGCTGTGTACCGCAGAGGCAAGGTTCGTGCGTGCCGACGTGCCTCGCTTACCATCCACGTGGTCGGTCGGTGACCGCGAGTGACAGGTCTGGGGCTGGGATAACGGAATGGGCTTCCTCCACTGGGAAGCAGGCTCCGAATAGCCCAGCCCGTGGTCTGCCGTGCTTGTTTGGTGTGTCTGGGAGTTCTGCCACTCTGCCTGGTGTGACTGTGTATTGATGCTTCCTGGCTCGTCATTTCGCAGGCGAGGATCGAGGAGCTCGAGGAGGAACTGGAAGCCGAGAGGCAAGCCAGGGCTAAGGTGAGCAATCGACAAGCCATCTGGTGGCCATTTCGGTCATTGCCCCCTCTCCCTCGCCCTCGTTCTTTTATATTCCACTCTTTATTTCCTCTCTCACTTCTTTTTTTTTTCTCATTCACGCCTCTTTTTTTGTGTTTCTTCCTTTTTCTTCGCATAGTTTTCGCTTTTGTCTTCTTGTTCTCACTTTTTTTTTTAATTGCTGTTTTTCAACCACTTCATTTTACTCCTCAAATTAGCCCAACTTTTTTTTCGTAATATTTATTCCCGCTAACATACAAATGGTTTTTGTATTGAAGTCGATTTCGTCAATTGAAATATACACTGACTTCAAGCCAATCATTGACATATATGGCCTCAACTATTATCCCCCTCTACAAGACATCCTCTTTCACCTTTTGCAAGCTTTCTCTGATGATCATCCTTATCCCGGTTCACTGCTCGCACCACCAGTTTTACTTTTATATGAGATCATGGTACAGGCAGTCAACCCGATTGTTGACTGTGAGACGCCATAACCATAAGTACGTTTTCACAGATTTCGTGGAAGCATCTGCTCACAGTTGTGGCGTCTCACCAAGCATGGTCGCGTCAATCGTCTGCTATACGACTTGATACTCTCACTGAGTTACCAACATAGTCATCTTATCTTCAGAGATATCGCAATACTGTACTGAGTCACTTCTCAGAGCACGCTGGACCCATCGATGTCTCATCCGTCTCTCCGGTGCGCTCGCTACATCCCAGGCCGAGAAGCAGCGTGCCGACCTGGCTCGGGAGATCGAAGAACTCAGCGAGCGCCTCGAGGAGTCTGGCGGTGCCACGTCATCCCAGATTGAGCTGAACAAGCGTCGCGAGGCCGAGCTGTCCAAACTCCGGCGAGACCTGGAGGAGTCCAACCTGCAGCATGAACAGGCCATGTCCAACCTCCGCAAGAAGCACAACGACACCGTTGCCGAGATGTCCGAGCAGATCGACCAGCTCAACAAGCACAAGGCCAAGTGGGTGTCTGTTTTGGTTCAGCCAACCCCCGACACCTATCTTTGTTTACCTTTTAGCACTCCTGCCATGTATACACCCTTGTGGAAGTAGATGGACACCTGAGCGAACTTAGATAATTGTTCAATTAGCCTTACCAACCAGGGTGAGGTAATATCTCTATGGTCATTGTCCTGAACTCGAATTAACATTGACGCCTATAGAAAGGTGTGTCATGGTGAAAATTATATGTACTAGAAATCTGAAGAGTGACTTTCAATTTAGATAATTGTTTGTGTTATATGGAATCATGTTGTATTCTTCTCAATCTTCGACGAACTAACTGACTGTATCAATCGTCTCGAATAGGAACGGAGGAAGTGCTCATCTGTCAGCAATGTTTTCTATTGCAGGTATTTGAAAAGCAGTGTGCATAACATTATTCGGAATGTTTTGTGTAACTAGGTGTAAATAGACTCCACATCAAGTGACGTTTTTCATTGTTAATACGTCTAGCTAAATTTCAGCTGTCAAATAACGGCAATTTTGATTTGATTTTTTACTAAATGGGAATCCAGATTAATTCTTATGGGTAGTGACTCGCATTTATTCACTGTCTAAAACTTGGCAGGATCAGTACCTCGTCCTACTTTACATATATTCGCAACACCAGCTCTATAATTATCTTGTAATACCCCATTAACTGTTTCAGGGTGATATAACTTCATCTCTCAGTGTATGATCTCTCTCTTGCTTTGCTTGCCGTGCGGCTAATGGTTCGGAAATAATATTATAATAATATTCGAGAATTAAAAACTCGCTTTCCTCAACTGTGAATTCAAACAGCGATGTCCGAAAATAACCTATCTCGTGGTAAAAAAAAAAAAAACAGTCCTAGAACTGAGGCAAGAGAATTCCCCCATGGGCAACGAGCAAATAAGCCCGTGCAAGTAGCCCATTTGACTGTCATGTGACCCGACAGGGTGGAGAAAGAAAAGAGCCAGATGAAGAGCGAACTGGACGACGTCCGTGCCAATTTCGACCACCTAAACAAAGATAAGGTAAACAGCCTGGAACTAGGCACGGGTTGCATGGAGCAGACAACCCAGCCATAGCTTGGAACCAGCTAGTGAATGTCCAAATGTGTGATTTGCACTCTTCCTCTGGTGTTTGAGCAAGGTGTCTTTCTGTGGAAATAGTAGCTCCTCAAGTAAAGTAGACTAATAATCATAATGATGATGATGACGATGCCTATAATGTTTCTGCGGCTTTTCCCTCTGCAGCGGGCGAGCTACCAAAATGTCATGCCCTATCCAAAATATAGACACATTTAAAAAATAACGCCATCTGGCGGTGGCGAGTTCAGCATGAACGCATTGTACTGTAAGTGGTTCTAGTAATATTTCCGTTCTATGTCGCCGGCTGTATGCGACTGCTGCGCTCATACTTTTATTAAAATCTTAGCGTATCTTGTTAATAATGCTGAAATCGGGCACATTCTTACGATATTACGTGGCACAAAATCATGTGTACCATCTGTGTATTGAATATAACTTAAATCAAAGTAAGTTCATTATAACTAAGTTATTCAAGCGAATACATAACGGGCATCCATTTCCACACAAAGACACCTCTGAATGTCCATTTCTTTGGCCCTAGTGCGTTAGTCCTAGCCTCCCGAAACTGAACCCTGGCTTGCCGTTGGTTTTTCCCCCTCTCCCTCTCTTCTCTTCTTCCCCTGCATCCCGAATGCGCTCTCTAGAGTTGAGAAGGAGCGCGCCACCATGTCCGCCGAAGTGTCCGACCTCCAATCCCTCCTGGACCACAGCAACAAAGCACAGGTACCCCTCCCGAAAAACCGCCACGGACGTGCTCTGCTCAGCCCTAAGATGACAACAGAGCGGATAATACGTATTAGCAGGACCAATCAAATGTTAGCTTGATGACACGTGTTGGCGTTATCTGCGTTCAAATAGCGTATAGCTGGTTAGGCCTAAGTATGCCGATTCAGTTCTGACCATCAAACTGCGCCCTTAACCCAGAATCCTAGCGTAATTTGGTCCAAAAGACAAATCTCACCAGCCAGTTTGACTACGCCACCACTGCCGCAATGCTTCGAAGGAACCTTAGTATTTCTGCACGTGCGACGATCTCACTGGAGCTCTGCGCGGGTAGAGCACGAGAGGGCTTGGGCCCTCTCGTGCAGTGCCGTCTGCATTATGTGAACTAAAGTTATGGCGGCATCACGCATGCACCGAAAGCTTAGTGAGATCAGTGGCGGATTCAAAGAGGGGGGGGGGGGGGGTTCTTAAACATATCATCTTCTGACCAACACCTGACCCCCCACTCTTCCCCCCCCCCCCCCCCCCCTCTTTGTAAATACCACCGTCCGTCCCTGATTGAGATCGGTCTATTACTCCACCAGACGGCACCATAACTCTGCAATTCTAGGAAACTTTACGACTTCATATCAACAGTTGATTAGGGCGCTTGACTGGCAGCCCGGGACTTTTAAGAAAATCAGATGTTCGCAGGTATGAAACCTGGTGACGTAATTAAAGCTTGAGAGGTGATTTGTTTAGTCAAAACGTAACTTCGTCTGTGGTGTCATCTAAGAGCAAAACGGAGCATGTTACCGACAGCTTACAAAACGCGAGACGTGAGATTGGCGCAGTTACCTTTTTACTGCGTTGCCAGTCACATGGAGTACATTGATTAGTCGATCGCAAAATGAAACCAGACACGTCCTTGGTTTCATAGGCTGTCGGCCTCTGTAGACTATTCCTGGAGAAGCCATTGCATCTTTTTCGACCACACGATTGAGACCCTTTTTTGAATGTGCACCAACCCTTTTTTCCCCGTGCTTTTGAAGCATGTGTTTGGGCTTTTTGAAGAACCACCCCTCCTGTTTTTGTCTCTTTTCTTTTTTTTTTTCCTGCACTCAACTGCCTTCGAGTTCTGTTTTGTGATTTTGTCTTGTTTTGATGGTAGTGCTGGTTCTCGACATTTTTATGCACACGTTTTTGCATATTCGGTTGCACATTTTTTCCCCTTCGTGCAGATTTTTGATGAAAAAGTAGCAGATCAATCGTATCTTGAATTTTATCTTCGAGCATTTTCAAGCTGTTAAAAAGCTTTTCAACTGCAATGAGAGATTAATTTCGCGCCAGACCGCTTCAAGTCTAAGGTTATAATTAGTGTTCGTGATTGTACCAAAGCTATTTTCAAAAATGTATTATCATAAATCAATCATTTAAACATTGACAATAACAGAAATAAATTCTGAGGCCACAGTGACCATCCAAAAACAGTTCCGTGGGACGAGCTGCCCAACCAGACAGCTATTTCTGCTGGTTGCAGTCGGCCACCCTTTAGCACCGTGTGTTCAACTCAATTTAAAAAAAAAAAAATGAAAACAGTTGTTCACATGGTTTATTGTAATGGTCCACGCGTCCTGTGGCAACTCAGAAAGATAAATCATTTCCACCATCTCAACAAAAGCCAGCTTTCAGCTTCGATCTGCCCTTACACGTCTTTTTTTACACGCAACCTCCTCGTGACGTCATCAGGCCAACGCCGAGAAGCAGGTGAAACAACTCGAAGTTCAGCTGGCCGACGCTCAGTTCAAGGTGGACGAGATGAACAGAACTCTGAACGACCTGGACGGCGGCAAGAAGAAGCTGGCCGTCGAGAACAGCGAGCTACAGAGGCAACTCGAGGAGTCCGAGTCTCAGGTCGCCCAGCTCAACAAGATCAAGGCTTCGCTCGCCACCCAGCTCGAGGAAGCCAAGCGCATGGCCGACGAAGAGGCCAGGGTGAGTCGGCGCAAGATCCGCACGTTTCTTTTTACTGGCGTACTTTTACCGGCGTTTGGGGGCTGGACTGATTATTGGTTAACTGTGCTTCTTGACACGGGGTTTCCACAAAACGATACCAGAAATTCGCCGGAATTTAGCGCCTGTTGTTCTAGTTTGTCCCAAACAAGGGTCACCATTTAGGTAACGACTTGTAGTGCTATGAACCCGTGTCTAGGCAGGCATTCATGTTGCTTCTAGCTTTTGTTCTAGTTTAGGGTTACGAACGAAACAATAACTATACGGGTAATGTGAAAAGATGAAGCGAGCACTGATACAATGAATTGAGATGAAGCATAGGCAGGGATAATGATTTCACTAATCTCGTGTTATCCAATGCATACCTACACTCTGAAAAACCTAGTCGTAAAAGAACTCTTGGGGTTCTTCGGCTTGTTCATATTTTGCACCCTCTAAAAAGGTTCTTCGTAAAAAAAAAAAAACTGTACGCGGTTTTTTTTTTTAGCTCCTTTTTTTATTCGAAGGAAACCGTTCTTCACGAACTGAAAGAGTTCTTGGGGCGTCGAAGAACCTTTCAAGAACGGTGTCTTCTAGAGTGTAACGCTAGCGTTTGGGCTATTCATGTGCTCTAACATGTTTCGATGTCTATGTGACATAAAGGTATATAGGCTGGCCGTGTGCGCTAAAATGTTGTCGGACGTTTTCTTGTGGGTAATGTATGTCAAATCGACATATTGGCGTTGGCTCATGATTAGTAAAAATCTTATCCCAAGTCCGAAACTACGTGACGGAGGAAGGAGTCCCCCTATGAAGCCACTGTCCTTCCAAATAAAGTCCTCGATGTCATTATGGTGGATGATTGACTCATCGACGTTCTTCTCCGTGTCCTCCTGGGCGACCGCAGGAGCGTGCAGCCATCCTGGGCAAGTACCGCAACCTGGAGCACGATCTGGACAACCTGCGCGAGAGCGTGGAGGAGGAACAGGAGGCCAAGGCCGACTTCCAGAGGCAGCTGAGCAAGGCCAACGCCGAGGCGCAGCTCTGGAGGTCCAAGTACGAAAGCGAGGGTCTGGCACGTCTGGAGGAACTCGAGGAGGCCAAGTGAGTGCGCACGGGCCCGACGTTTTTTTTTTGTTGTTGTTTTTTTTTGTTTTTTTCAAGATGGGGGGGGGGGGGAGGGTTTGTTTCAGCGGTACGCATGCGGTGAAATATACCGACGATAAAATTATCAATACCGGAACAAAGCTACGGGAATGCTAGAATAACTGCCTAATTTATGTCGTATATGGCATGTACGCCTACAAAGAATAGATTTGAAAGTTCGATTACGTACTAGCGGAAAATAATAAGCAATCTGAGTACTTCAAGAGTACAATGAAAAGCATATTTTACTTAGCATGTTTAGAAGCTGTGAGAATAAGTTCTAGAACATACACCAAACAAAATGACTTTTACAAGTGGAGGACATTTTCTGAACACAACATTCAGTAGAACAAAACAAAAAATAAAGTACAGCGCGTTTGGGAGTCCCAAGTACGAGCATGTGGATTTGGAAATTTCTCACTCATAAGTGTTCGTAAGCATCATTTTTCGTAGCAACGCTCGTCGCCGCTTGTCCCTTCCACGGCGTTGCACATGACTTACGAGATGGAGCATAAATGTGGCTGACGCCTGACGCGCAAGAATACAAATTCAGATATGATCTCCAAAAACCTTAACTACGTCGAACTTTATTTACCCAACGGCCAGAGATACGTACCAAAATGAAGCTGAGTGTGATACTCCTGATTATATTTCCGGCACCCAATAGATCCAAGTCCTAACAGCGCATCCTAATGTGCAGGAGGAAGCTGCACGGCAAGCTGCAAGAGGCTGAGGAGGCCATGGAGCAGCTGAACGCCAAGTGCAGCGGACTCGAGAAGACCAAATCTCACCTGCAAGGCGAACTCGAAGACATGTCCATAGAAGTCGACAAGGCCAACGCCCTGGCCTCCTCCCTAGAGAAGCGCCAGAAGTCCTTCGACAAGGCGAGTGACATATGCACCAGACGGAGGCTTGGAAAGCTCCGACTTCTAAATCATCCCTTAGGTTGGGCCAGTATGCTATTAACGCGCTCGAGCTATCCAGATTGTTTCGAATTATTGTTATATTTAATTAGTTCATTATTACGTTTTTCAATATCAGAGTTGAAACGAACCGTTGCACTCTGGTAAATGACTGGACAGTTCCAACCATGGGTCCATTCAAGCCATTAAACCGCCCAAGCCATTGAGCCGTTCAAGCCACTGAAGCGAGCTGGTTAAACGGTCTAACGCTACTACACCCTCACTGAAGTTTATTGTTTACAAGAAGAAATATGCAACTGCTTATTCTATCAACCAGGAGAGACCTTTTTCGCCATACTATTTTGGAGAAAACGGAGGGGATAAAATAAAGGAGAGGTAGAGAGATAGGAAGGGGTTAGTTGTTCATTACTTGGTGTGAGAGGGCACCAACTGGGAGACACGAAGAGCGCGATGCTGTTAGATCTCGAGTTTGTGCTTCTGTCTTTAAGGCGGGGGAGGGGGGGGGGGGGGCTGCAAGGTTAGACGTACGCGTTCTTTTACGAACCATAGTGTCTGCAACCATAGTAATGACCGCAGGTCATCGCCGAGTGGAAGGCCAAGGTGGACGACCTGGCCGCCGAGCTGGACGCGTCCCAGAAGGAGTGCCGCAACTACTCGACCGAAGTATTCAAGCTTCGCGCCGCGTACGAGGAGAGCCAGGAGCACTACGAGTCCGTGAAGCGGGAAAACAAGAACCTCCAGGACGAAGTGAAGGACCTCATGGACCAACTGGGCGAGGGCGGACGCAGCGTGCACGAGCTCGAGAAGTCCCGCAAGAGGCTCGAGATGGAAAAGGAGGAACTCCAGGCAGCGCTCGAGGAGGCTGAGGCCGCTCTCGAGCAGGAGGAGAACAAGGTGAGAGGAAAAAAAATAATTGTCTTTATCTTAATTTTAGATATCATCACAGGAAAACAGCAAGAAACGAACAGACATTGTTTAGCTGAAATATTATATTTGGCTTTACTGAATGCATGGACACGGGGACGGACAAACCGGCATACCGTGCCTTACTTTATCACTCTTTATTGGCCTTTAAACTGCCTTTTAAACTCATGCCCTTTAAACTCAAGATGCTGCTTTACAAATGATGCTCGACCCTAACGTATACGTGCAGCTCTCAGCTTCCTTTGTCGATAACACGCATGAAAACCTACGTCACTATTTATAGAAAGGCGCACAATTGTGCAAGTTACCACTTTTTTCTGAAGACTGCTGATCTCAAGCAAAATAAATTTGGTAAAATAGCGCAGCGCAAGACGCATTCAGATTTGAATCTACAAATCAAGGACACGCTTCTGCGTGAAGGGTGTCCGAAAACATACGTGCGTTTTACTGCCAGTGCCTCCAGAAGTGTCTGGTGTTCTCGGTTTCCAGGTACTCCGCGCCCAGCTGGAGCTTTCCCAGGTGCGCCAGGAGATCGACAGGCGCATCCAAGAGAAGGAGGAGGAGTTCGAGAACACGCGCAAGAACCACCAGCGTGCCCTGGACTCGATGCAGGCCAGCCTGGAAGCCGAGGCCAAGGGCAAGGCAGAGGCCCTCCGCCTCAAGAAAAAGCTCGAGAGCGACATCAACGAGCTCGAGATCGCGCTCGACCACGCCAACAAGGCCAACGCCGAGGCACAGAAGAACCTCAAGAAGTACCAGCAGAACGTCAAGGTCAGTCGATCCTTCTCTTCGCTTACGAGTTGATGCACAGCAACAGTTTATGCACAGCGACACGAGAGCGTAGCCCTCGCACCACTGACGAGGTGCTTGGTTTGCACGACCACTTGACCAAACAAAAGTACTCGAATGCGAACTCTAGTCGCCATGGCTCCAACAAAGCTGTGTGAAGAGCTCAATGCTTTACTTAATCTGTCCACTGATGGATTCATGGATCTGTCTCTCTAGCATCACTTGCCGTTGAATTTTTCTTCACAGCTCGCTACCACAATACCATTTTTACTTTTATTAAAAATTAAGTTGAGCATCGTTAATTGTAATAGTAGTTTTTGAACGTCCAATTCATTAATTGCCCTACGTCTACGCTGGTTTTACACACGACTACATGAGTAACTCGTAATGACTGTGGTTTTCCCCCTTATGCTTACCGAGAACAATTGAACTTAATTGAAAAACAATTATTCTAAATAGAATTACATACGTAAACAATTCATAAAAAAAGCTTTTGCGAATAATATGATCAAAGAATATATAATTTTATTTATTGAAAGATCCTCTAAGTAGATCGTAGCTAAAAGAAACGCTCCGGGCATGTCAGGTACTTCTTCAGTCCTTGAGATAACTGAGTATATATGTTGACAATCACGCAATTTGTCTTCGTTCGTTCATGATTAGTATGTTGTTGTTGTTGAAAACTTTATTCGTACATTCAGAAGGGAAAAATGATGGAATCAGGCGACCGGGAGCCCTTGAGCCCCGGCGGCCTCCGCAGCCCATTCATACTAAAGTGTTCTCTTCCTTCTGGTCCCGGCAGGATCTGCAAGGAGCACTGGAGGAAGAGCAGCGTGCCCGGGACGAGGCCCGTGAGCAGTACGCCTCTGCTGAACGCCGCTGCAACGCCATGCACGGCGAGTTGGAAGAGAGCCGCCAGCTGCTGGAACAGTCGGACCGCGCCAGGCGAGCCGGCGAGGCTGAGCTGAGCGAGATGCACGAGCAAGTGAACGAGCTCTCGGCCAACACCGCCTCCCTGTCCGTCGCCAAGAGGAAGCTCGAGGGAGAGATGCAGGCACTCCAGGTGGGCACAGCTCTCGTTCGCGTCCAGCGCCACGGACCTACCTTTTTTTTTCAAACAGAGCACGCAGTTAAATATAGCCAAAAAGTAAAATTGGTCGTTAGTTGTTTATACAGCAGAAGGTTAGTCTGCCTGAACATGGCGACATTGTTACCCACTGTAGATGAGCAATTTAGTCAGTGCAGTACAACCGTTAGCCTGGGGTCTTTAACGTGCAACCGTCGTCAAGTAGGCCACTTCCCCAAAACATTTTTGCTCTGTCGTCCTATATCCTAAGATAGCCATGCGTAGCCATCAAAACTTTTTTTTAAAAATCAAGTTGTTCCCATACTTTCTTCAGCCTGCTCCAGAGAGTTAATTTCCCTCACGTGAATATTTAATTAAGCCAGCGTACAAAATAACCAAAAATACATTTTTCAACGAGGTCTTCATCTTCCGTGGGGTACGTTAAGCGTGTGCCTCTTAATTACACTTCAAGTTCCATCTCAACGTATAATAGTAGCTATTTAGTAGGCTCGCTCTACATGGCTTGCACGTGACGTCGTCGCTATATATTGGTAGTCGTTTCTATTTGTACTTGTTCGAAAAGGAAACTAAGCGGTGAAAAAAGCTGCAGAAGGTACGAGCTCGGTAGCAAGGCCGCCACAATAGCGGCTTATATCACGTCATAGCGCCATGCTGGTGGCCATTCCTAATTGTTCTTGCAGAGAAAAAACACATTCGATTTTGCGAAATATTTACTCTACAAGATAAGCACTGTGTAGTGCGGTCTCCTACTCCGAGGAGAAATGAGTTCATCGTCATGACAATTCCCACCATCGGTACTTGTGAAACACTAATCACCTTCCGCCTTCCTCGTCTCTTCCACAGGCTGACCTGGACGAGGTTCTCAACGAGGCCAAGCAGTCCGAGGAGAAGGCCAAGAAGGCGATGGTGGACGCCGCCCGGCTCGCCGACGAACTCCGCGCCGAGCAGGACCACGCCCTGCAGCAGGAGAAGCTCCGCAAGAGCCTGGAGCAGCAGATGAAGGAACTCCAGGTGCGCCTGGACGAGGCCGAAGCCGCCGCGCTCAAGGGAGGCAAGAAGATCATCCAGAAGCTCGAGCAGAAGGTCCGCGAGCTCGAGAACGAGCTGGAGAACGAGCAGCGCCGCCACGGCGACGCCGCCAAGAACTTCCGCAAGGGAGAGCGCCGCATCAAGGAACTGCAGTTCCAGGCCGAGGAGGACCGCAAGAACCACGAGCGCATGCAGGACCTGGTCGACAAGCTGCAGCAGAAGATCAAGACGTACAAGCGCCAGATCGAGGAGGCCGAGGAGATCGCCGCCCTGAACCTGGCCAAGTTCCGCAAAGTCCAGCAGGAGCTGGAAGATGCGGAGGAGCGCGCCGACATGGCCGAGAACACGCTGGCCAAGCTGCGCGCCAAGAACCGCAGCTCCGCGTCCGTGGGCCGCGCCATGTCCCCCGGCGTAGGCACGCCCCTGAGGACCTGAGCTTTCCCGTCGAGCCCCTTTCCCGTCTCTTTCCGAAACTCCGACCCGGCTTCCCTGCGATTCCCGAGGCCCTCCCCCGGCCGACCGCTGCGAGGTCGCGCCGAGAGGGCCGCTGAATGAGCAATAAACGACACTTTCCAAACGATGGGTCTCTTCCATGTGTCCTCTTGGATGCGATGTCAGATGTATGACATGTCCGGCCAGATCAACACCAGCAATACCACCTAAGGATAGGCCTGCTCATTTTGTCAGGCGCACCAAGCCAACACCAACTAAAAGACAATGCTTGAGCTTCCGGACCTCCCCCCCCCCCCCCCCCCCACTCCCCCCGCAGAAAAAAAGAAAAATTAATCACTATATAGTGGATCTACGCGGCGCAGCCTAGCTTGCGTCATTGATTGTCTCACAAAACAAACGTGACTCTAGCACGCATGGGGCGGGTCGGTCGGGGGTCCACTAACAATGGCGTCATGCCCAGGCCTTGTCTTCTATGCAAAAAATGTTGAAACTCTACAAGTGTGCCGTCCGCAAGGCGGCAGACGCGTGTGTCTTGGCGTTGACGCGTGCTATACATTGCCGTCGTTGTGAGACGTTGCAAGACGCACGCGTGGCGACGCTAGGTGGCGCTGCTTGAATCGATGTTGTTCTATGTTGTATCCGAGAGGATTGGAGGATAGACTAGAGAAGAGTGGGCTTCGAGTCGACCTTTCGTGCAGTAAGCTAGGCCAAAAAATTCAGCAATCCTTACCGGGATTGATGCATGCAGATGATATCGTACTAATGGCTAACAACAGGACAGAGTTGCAGGAATTAATAAGCATCTGTGGTAAAAGAGAGGAATTAGGTTTAGAATTCAGTAGTGAAAAATCAGCAGTCATGATTTTTAACGATGATGAAGTTGAGAGGCTGAAGATACAGAATATTACAGTTGAGAGAGCTAGTAAATACAAGTATCTAGGAGTATGGATATGTGATGGTGCAGAATATCTCAGTGAGCATGAAAAGTATATAATAGGTAAGGGCAACAGAAATGCAGCTGTAATGAAAAATAGAGCACTTTGGAATTACAACAGGTATGAGGTGGTGAGAGAGATTTGGAAAGGGGTCATGGTGCCTGGCTTGACTTTTGGAAACGTAGTGCTATGCATGAAATCCGAAGTGCATGCGAGACTAGAAATAAAACAGCGCGGAGTAGGTAGGCTGGCTTTGGGGGCACACTGCAAAACGCCAAACCAGGGAGTTCAAGGATACATGGGATGGGCGTCATTTGAGAGCAGGGAAGCGGTGAGCAAGATAGAATTTGAGGATCGGTTGAGGCAAATGGATGGGGAGCAATGGGCACGAAAGGTTTTCAGCTATTTATACATGAGGAGTAGAGACACAAAGTAAAGACAGCGCGCTAGGAAATTAAGAGGAAAGTGTTTAGGCTATAGTGGAGTTATGGAAGAGCAGGTCTCAGTTAAGGAGAAAGTTAAGGCCACAGAAAGAGATCGGTGGCTAGAGGGAATGCAGACAAAGACGGCTCTGGAAAGCTATAGATTAAACAAAACAGTTATTGCCCAAGAAAGCATTTATGACAATTCTAGGGCAAGCTCGTTGTTTGAGGCGAGGATGGGTGTTCTGCGAACCTGAACATACAGAGCAAAATACCGGGAAATGGATACAGTGTGCACTGCTTGTGGAGAGGAGGACGAGACTGCTGGGCACTTGATACTCTACTGTAAAGGGCTTCACCCTATGCCTACCGAAGGAATTAATGAATATATATGTGGTACCAAGGGGAAAAGGTTAGGTCTAGAATTTAGTAAGGATAAGTGCACATTCATTATTTTTAATGATGACGAAAAGGAAGAACTCAAAATACAAGATTTCGTGGTTAAGACAATAGATAAATATAAGTACCTATAGATGTATGGATTCATGACAGTGAGGATTATGTCAGCGAGCATGAAAAATAGGTTACTGGTAAGCGCAACATTAATTCAGCTGTAATGTAGAATATAGTTTTGTGGAATTCTAACAGGTATGACGTATTACGTAAATTTGGAAGGGAGTTATGGCGCCTAGTTTAACTTTTGGCATCGCAGGCCTGTGCATTAAATCTGATGTCCAAGCCAGGTGAGAAATAATAGTAATAGTAATATTAACAGTATTTATTTCACTTAGTTCACAGCGCCGCTCGGGTTGCAGGTGACCAAGGTAAAGCATTGTACCGATACACGAAAGGTATCGGTACAATCGCGATCGCGACCGGCGACAGCGTGACACTTTTATCACGTCACCAGGTGGAAATCGAGGGACTACTTTTTTGGACGCGGTAGACACACCAGTCGGAGACGTGCTCCAGGCACCATAATACAGCCTCTCTGATTGTTCGTCGGGAAGAAATTGTGACGAATTGCGCGGGCCTAGTGCGCCCGTCATTATTACGACGGGATTTAAGGTTCTTACAAATTCCGCGAGCTTGTTCCGTGACGCAATACTTGCGCGAACGTAAATCCCGCTCAGCGTGCGCAGCCCATTGCCGTCGAGAGGGGCAGAGTCACGAGAGCTGGCCAGGATGTATGGGATGCAGCTGGCATCCTCGTCAGAATGTGATACTTGTTTCTCCCCTTCTTTTCTTTCCTTTTTATGCACTTTCTGTAGTGTGTACACTTTGTACATATATAGTCTTTTTTTTCACATCTGGTGGCGGGCTGGCAGGCACTCTGCGTAAGGGTTTTCATCTATCTGCCCAGCCCCCACACCACCACATGTGCCCTTCCAGTATGTGCAAATAAACTATTATTATTATTATTATTATTATTATTATTTATTTATTGTACATACCCTCAAGCGCCGAAGCATTGTAGAGGGGAGGGGCAAAGCAAACAAAAATAAAACTGACAAAACAAAAAAAAAAGCAATCGGCAAGAACTTTCAAATATCAAAAACACACTGCCATTGGCAAAAGCAGTAAGCAATATCTGTCACGGACAAAATAAACAATATACAATTACTTATGTTGGCTCACCAAACAGAAATGTAGACAAAGATTGGGGGGATTATTATTATTATCTGAGTGCAGCGGCTGAAAAGGGCCTACCGATGAAATTGATATGTCTGCCGCTAGGGGCGCCCTGGTCGGGGCTTCAACAAGAAAACTCGGGTCGAAATGAGCTACCGCAAGTAAGTATATTTTCGGAATGTATTTATTTGTTCATTTATTCACGCCCTCAATGCCTCGGGGGCGTTATAGAGGGCAGTGGGTTAGTACAGGGCGGTTTTGAAGGAGCAGTGGGGATCGCTTGGAGTCGGGTATGGTAACTATGACGTCCGGGAAGTCATTCCAGCCCGCAACTGCTTCAAGGGTGAGGGGATACTGGTGTGCTTGATTTGATGACTTGGGACGGGCGATCCTGCATGAATGGTCCAGTCTTGATGATATGTAGGTAAGTGGGTCTAGAGGAGACATTTTCAAGAAAGGTGTGTAAAAGACTTCGTGAAGAAGAGAAAGACGGGAAATTTGACGGCGGGGGGAGGGTAGAGAAAGGGTAAGACGATACTTCATTGACGAAATACTGGAGGTGGGATAGTAGTCATTAAAATAAAGTGAGCAGCACGGTTGTGAATGAATTTAATGAAGTCTGTTAAATTGTTCTGATGAGGATGCCAGATGGAGGACGCATGTTCTAATTTAGACCGGACGATAGTGGTGTACAAAATACGTCTTAGGTTTTCAGGTGAGGTTCTAAATTTCGGTGAATGTAGCCCAGAGAGCGGTTAGCAGAGGATATAATTGTTTTATCATGAGTATGCCATGATAGATTAGGTGTGAGATGCAAGCCTAAATTAGAAAAGCGCACGCATTGACATTTGTTAGGATTTAAGGACATGCGTCATGTTTTACACCATTCAGAAATTTTAGAGAGGTCGTCCTGAAGCGTTACAATATCATCAGTAGAAGTTATCTTACGGTAGATTACACAGTCATCGGCAAAAAGTAGCAAAATGAAAGCGATGTTGAGAGGAAGGTCATTAATATGTATTAAGAAGAGTATTGGCCTAGTACTGTCCTTCAGAGGACACCAGAACACCAGAAAAAAACAGAACACAGAGAGGATTTGGTATGGTTAGCACAAACTGACGACGTTGCAAAAGGAATGATTCGATCCATTTTAGTATATTATGGTAAATATTTAGTACAGGAAGTTTCAGCAGAAGGAGGTTATGTGGCACGTTGTCAAAGGCTTTGGCAAAATCCAGAAATACAACAATAGCGGGGTAGCCGGTGTCAAGGTTGAATCCCGGAGAAAAGCTCACCGGAGAAAAGCTCACCGGAGAAAAGCTCACCGGCCATTGAGCGTATGCGGAGAAAAGCTCACCGATTTTTCTTCCTCTTTTTATATGGAGGCTGTTGGACCATGCGTAACATATATCAATTTATTATCATTAAAATTCGCCAGCTTTGTAAAAAATAAAATGTTCTTTTTGTAATATTTGTTAAGCTTATTGGGTATATTGCTCCCAAATCAAAAATTGCGGGCGAGTGTTTTCTGTAGGTAACTCTCTAAGCAACGAAAGCCTAACTGAAAATTTTATAAACTTGAAGAACAGGAAGAAGTTCGAAAACTTAATAACGTCTGCCTAAAACCTAAAAATCAAAACTGCAAATGACGAAAATCCGAAAGTGTATGCGCAACATCGTGGTGCCTGAAATTCTCTTTCAAGCTTTTGCTAACCTTTGAAAACAGGATAAAACAGTCAGCAATATATCGAGGCTCATTTCTTCCACGCACATGCACGTTTTCTAGCCGTTCGTGCTGGTGTTTCGACACGTTTCCTTTTTGTGATAGTGCCCTTCTACGGTGAGCCACCCATGATTTTTAGAGCTGCACACTGGCACCATTGTTACTCGTGACCTATATAAGAAGTCGTCTTCTGTATGGTAGCGAATAGGGCGAGTTGGTAAACTTTACGCATGATGAAAACCGCTCAAAGGACGACGACGGAGTGAAGACAACAAACACGACAGGACGGAGCTGTTCTCGCAACTAAAGGTTTGTTAGTGAAATTAACAGAAAGAAAACAACGTAGCCGTCAGCTTTCAATAAAATGTTGCGTTTTTTACCGGTCTACGAAGTTCTGATTTTATTCTTGCGG